GCTTGATTTGGTTCTGATTCATTTGTTTATTTTTGGGCTATCTTGGTCAAGTCACTTTATTTCTCTGAGTCATAGTTTTCTCATAAATAAAACGAGAGTATTGATAAAGCCTTTACTTTCAAGTGGCTAGGAGAAATAAATATGAAAGTGCACTGTCATCAACAAAGTTTTTACGTTAGTGTCAACTGTGCCCACGTGTCATTACCGAGTTTTTTAAGACAAAATATATGTCTGGAATATCATCCTCATTCATAGAGGCTGTTTTCATGTGTATGGAACAAAGGAAAGCAAGTACTATCCCTGCTCTCAATGTGATGAGTAGGTATCCCATCTGCTGCTAATAGCATTTACACAAAAATAGAATAATTTACAAGCTATACCAGAATATAAAATGCATACAGATGCAGTTGAAAGAAATAGTTTCCAGTGAGTGTATTATTAATCCAGGCATTTGTATGTGAGTGGAAGCTTGTAAAGATTGACTCATTGGAATTGTTATTTCCAGAAAGTTTTGGGATATGGGTAAAAGGACAAAAGTGGAATGCTGTCTTTACTCTTCTGGTTTGTAAGAGTTAATTGGTCTCCTTCACTGAAAATGCCTACCCCTTCTGCCCTTAAGAATTCTAACCTTCCTTTGAAATTTGTTTTGTATGTTAGCTATTTTAAGGTTTCTGGATACCTTTGTCTGAGTCACTCCCATTCCTTATACTTACCTCCACTTCATACCAAGCATAACTCCTCCATTATTTATGCCCTCAAAGAATATTCTGTAGGTCTTTCTAACATTTATTAAATTATATTGTGTTTACGTTTACTTACCTTTCTGTCATCTCTATCTTCTTGATGGCTTGGAGATGACTTATTTATCCTAAAAAAGAACTCAACAAATGTTTGTTGAATGACTGTGCTTTCTAGATATATTCTATGTCATTTATTTATTTATTTAGGGAGATCCATAAATGAATTAAAATTGTCTTTTTCTTCAAGGAAAATGGATGGGGGAGTGTGTGTGTGTGTGTGTGTGTGTGTGTGTGTGTATTATATGTATATATAAATCCCACTTCTTATTTCTGAAATTTGTTTGGCTCAATACAAACTAATTCATTATATCCCTATATGTATATATCTGAATTAAAAAGAATCACTAAAACTATATTTCATTTAATGGGAATGAGGAAGATTTCTAGTTTTTTATTTAAATATTTGAAAATTTTGTAAGGCTCTGTGTTGCTGTCAACAAAAGAGCTCAATTCTGTTCATAAAATTGTTTTCTTCTCTTGTCAATGGAACTTTTACTGTGTTTTGACTTTGTTGATCAGTGTTTCTTCATTTTTTTCCATTAATATCTCTTGGAGTCTTACTACATGCTACACCCAGTGCTAACGGTGTGGAAGGTGCAGAAATTAGTCCAACAGGATCCCTCTCCTGAAGAGTTTGCAACTGGTTGGGGAGGCAGCTGTGTATTTGAGCTGAATGATAAAGTGTGTTTCTTTCTGTTGATGTTCTTCAAAAGCAATGAGGCAGAGTTGCATGGTTATTAGTTTTCAAAAGAGACTTAGCTACCATGCCCTAATTGTGGGGAAAATGTTTGAGGTTAGAGGTTACAGGACCATTGAAGTTTGAATGGGAATGAAGGAGAGTGTTGGTGTTGCCTTAATATCAACATCAGCCTGAAATTCAGATGAGTGAAAGTGAACATAGAAGGGAGAAAGTTTGAGAAGTGGGAAGGTAAGAGCTCAAGGTCCAATGATACATCTTAAATGTGCTTGCAGGGAAAGATGGTGAGATGAGTTTATGCTGTTTATCCTCAGTAGTGTTTATACTGTTTACTACAAAGTAGAGTAGATTAGGGAAGGAACAATTTATCTAGGCTCTGAACTTGGCCTGGCTGTGAAGTATTTTCTGTAATTCCCAGCCTGGTTACTGATTTAAAAGGTGGCTGAATGTGTGATTTTTTTCCAGCTTGTAGTAGAGTCATGATGCAAAGATATATCTTGGAAGGGAGCTAGGGTGGATGAAGAAGAAACTGGATTAAACTCATAATACTTGGTATAAGTGAGATTATATATTTGAAAGTTCTTATTAAGCTCTGAAGTGCTAAATCAGTGTATTGACAATATAATTCCATGTATGAGTGTGTGCACTTCCTTCTAGTCCTTGAAGAGCTTCTAGATTCTCTGCTAGCTCAAGCCCTCACCCCTATATGCTGTAAGATTTAGGGTCAAATCATGATAATTGAATGTACTTTGTTCTTGTTTAAATAGTAAGAAATCATTGAGAAGAGTCATTGTTATGGTAACTAGTGATTCATAAACTCTTTGTACCTGTTATGTCAAATGTGCCTTCATGTTTATGATTTAGCAATATATGCTGCTGATGGAATTAAAGATGTGGATTTTAAAAATGTATTTAATTGTAGAATTTAAAATGCAATATAAAAAATTACAAAAAGCAGAAAAAATACAAATGTATGAACCTAATAGATTTAATAGATGTTAATATTTGCCTTATTTGCAGTAGTCTTCTCTATTTTGTTCCTAAAACAAGAGAACACCTGATATAGCAAAGACACTCCTGCCCTTTGCTTCTCTCTACAGATGAGCACAATTCTAAATTCAGTTTGTGTCAGTGCTGTGTATTAAAAACATATTTTATTACAAGTGTTTAAATCCATAAACATAATATTTTTAATGTTGCACTGACTAAAGCAAAAAAAATATTGAAGTTCTTCACATGGGTATGCACATGGAAAATTGCAATGATTTTATATTTTTTTATTTTATTTAGCATGACATTAACATATATATAAAATATATTGTTTGGCATAATTTTTTGCTCTGATAACATAAAGTGAAGTAGCTTTTTTGTGAGTATAATATACAGGATGAAATATGTTTTACATTGTGAGCTAATACATACCATATATACTTGTGTGTGTAGGTGTGTGTGTGTGTGTGTGTGTGTGTGTGTGTAAAGCTGAAAAAGTTTCTCCATACCATAATTTCCTCCACTGTGTATGCTATACTTTTTTCTAGTCTATTCGTTTTTTTTTGAATCTATTAATTTTTAAATACTTGTTCTAGTCTTAGTAAATTGATTTGACCTAATAACAGGATTTGAAAAATAATCATCTCAACAATTAATCTAATCTTAATTAAGTTTAACACTGACTTTAGTATAGACACATAAGCTTTTGTAGTATAATAAAAACACTTCAAATAATAAGGCAACATATTAAGATAGCATTCTTTTGCACAAGATTTGATTATATTCATTTTGGCTAATTCGTTCTGAATATTTGTTTTCTGTGAACTAAATTCATACATGTCTTAGCCATTTATAATCAATTAATATTAATTAGCTAAGCATTTTAGGGAATGCATGTTGATCAATATCAAATATCTCCTTTCAGTCTGTTCCAACCTCATGGTTTGCCTGAAGTCCAGCAAGGCTGTCATGGTTTCAGGGAAAGAAAGAGCCCTTACTGGCTGGGACACTGACTTCTAGCCTTGTCACCAACAAACTCCATTTGGCCTTAATAATAGCCTTTGTTCCTTACAGCCCTCACTTTCCTCACCTGCTAATTGAAAGGGTTCACCAGGTCATTTTGAAAGCACTTCCATTCTCTGAAATACAGGGTAACTAGGATTTGGGACACAGTTGTTACAACTTGCTGAGAATATATCTGATGTCAAAGCACAGGACTTTCTACTGGAATTACTAGTTTCACAGTTGCATTTGAACAAGGGTAAGCAGGTCATATATAGTTTAAGCGGTTCTTAGGCAGAAATGATTTGTAAAACCATTTTGGAGCAACCTATTGTCTAAGATCTACCTACTTTTTTATGGCATTATTTCTCAGGGACAGGGCTACATGAGTGTATATGTTAGCATATGTAAGTGCTAAAAATAGCAAAAATGTGTGTGTGGTGTTTTTTAATTCCATTTTAGGTAAATGTCCTCATAGGCAAATCCAAAGCTGCGGAAAGAAATCTATAACCTCTGCTAATGCTATGGTATAGTTTCTGGAATCCTAGATAAATCCCAAGTACTAGTTTATGGCTTTGAGGACTTTTCCTTTTTAATGTGAGTTACATGTTGGGAATACAGTAAGAAGTTATCGTCTAAACTACATGTCCTTCAAACAAGTAAAAAAGCACATGTCATAATAAGAATCCTTCATAAGTATTGTTTTATGTATATGTTTGTTTTAAGAAACAGGAGTTTAAATTGCTGTTTAGGGTAGAACAGACCTTGGAGACCATCTTTTCCCATTTGCTTCTAAAAAGGCCACTAAATGCTCCTGCCCCGATCTCCAAATTGAGGCAACATTAGGGACGGATTCCTGTATCCTCTAAGGTTCCCATTTTCTTTTGGTGTACAGATTAATTTTAGGAAGCTCTACATTTAGGGACATGTAAGGAGCCAGTTCTAACTCATGTCTGAGGGTGTGGACCCATTAAAGAATGTGATTATCCTTGACAAAGAGATCTGCCCCTACCTGAGGGACTAATAAATATATGTTTTTCTTTATAGATGCCAAGATAGCTGTCAGTCTCTGATAGAGGATCCCCTCCACCCCAGATAACTGAGGCAAAGGCTAGATAGATTTCTCTTAACTCCTCTGATATGGGAGGACTCCGCTTTCTCTCAGCTGCAGTATGCAGAATGTTCTTGTCTCTTGTATTATGGCAGTAGCACTTGCTCTCTCTTAGCGGACTAGAATTTCTGGACCTCTGAGTTCTGATTCTGTGGTTAGTATAAGTAGGCCAGGAATAAGAGCTAACCATTATTTTATGACACCCTGTGCTTGGCACTAAGCACGTACTATGTGGATTTTTATGATTGAAGACTTTATACTAACTAGTCACTATTTTACATTGCATGTTATCTTATAATATTAGAATTGATTTTTGAAGTAAACACAATTCTTTTTTAAAAAACTATAAAATATTACCAATGAGCCTTCTTGTCTGCTTCTCTTCCCTCATCCTTTGCAGTGTGCCGAGATTTTGCTGTTTTAGAGGACCACACCCTGGCCCACAGCCTACAGGAACAAGAGAGTGAGTAATGGCCCTCATTATGTTTCTTCTGTTTTCTTTTTTAGTGGTAGCTTGAGGCAGGTTTCTTAGGGTGAGATAGCAGGGAACAGAGTCACCAGGCCTACACTGTCCATCTATCCTGGGGGATTTATCTAGGCAAATGTCACCTGGGTGGGGGATGAAATTCTGGGTATTTTGAAGTATGACAGCTGCCAGGGATTAGGAGACTGTTGGGTGTATGGAAGGAGAAGGGGGACTTGAACTTTTTCTCTTGCCTTAGTGTTATAGGAAGGAGACACTATCTGGCATCTATCCCTTCCCCTAGAAGAGGGGCTTGAACATCTTTCCAAGGCATTGGCAGTATCTGGATTGTGGAGTCTTCATAATATTTATATATGTAATCATGGAAGCTAAATCCAGCTAAAGTTGTATTTGTTACATAAAAGTACATATTTGTGAATATGTAATTTAAGAATCATTAATTCACGTGTCAATATAAACATTAAGTATTGAAAAATGTAATTTATAAATAGAGTGACAACTGGTGGAGCAGAAGGAGCCGTGGCCTTAGAGTATTTGTGTGGAAGTCCTGGCACTACCACTATTTTGCCATGTGACCAGGAGCAAATTACTTAACCTTTCTGATCCTCATTTTACTTAATGGAAAGATACAAAGAAGTTGCCTGTTACATAGCATTATTGAGAGCATAAAATGAAGTCACAGGTGTGAGGCTCTTTTTAAGGGAAAAGCTCTTCTTAAGGCATACTATTAATAAGCCAAAAACTGAAACATTGTTATTCCTGTCTTCAATATTTCTGTCCAGTTGAGCATCATTTGGCATCGAACATTCAACGGAACCGTTTGGTCCAACATGATCTCCAGGTGGCTAAGCAGCTTCAGGAGGAAGACCTGAAAGCTCAGGCTCAGCTCCAGAAGCGCTACAAAGATCTGTGAGGATTTGGGGGTGGGAGGGACTCACTCTGGGACTGATTTTCTCTGTGGAGCAGCAGGGCAGGGAAGAGACTCTGTGTCTGTCCCTCTCCTGCCTTTCACTATTCAATTATAAATCCTGTAGTGGCTATCCTATAGTTTTCTTTGATTTGAAAATTTTTCTCTGTTGTTGGAATACTTTCTAGGTTTTGGGACATGTGGATTCTAATATGAACTCAGCACTTTTAACTTTAGGACTGTGAGCCATTTGGTCCATCTCTCTGAGTCTATATTTCTTCCCTGTAGCATGTGGAAAATAATCTCAGTCCCTTTGCCTTGTAGGTGGTTTGGGAGGAATCCAGGGAAATAGTGGATATCAAAGAACTTTCTGAGTTGTTTTGGATTTCTTTACTCTTTTCTAGGGGTACTCTTTCCTACAGTTCTTTCCTAGGGGTGGTTGCTGCTATTATTTTCCTTGAACCTCTTGCTTTTCAGGGAGAGATAGGATCTTCTGGAATGCTTTATTTTTTTTTTAAGATTTTATTTATTTATTCATGAGAGACAGAGAGAGAGAGAGAGGCAGAGACACAGGCAGAGGGAGAAGCAGGCTCCATGCAGGGAGCCTGATGTGGGACTTGATCTCGGGTCTCCAGAACTCGATCCTGGGTCTCCAGGATCACACCCTGGGCTGAAGGTGGTGCTAAACCACTGAGCCACTCGGGCTGCCCTGGAATGCTTTAAATGACACCCTCAGTTATCTTTATAACTCCAGCATGTGACAAAAGTTGTTTCTTAGTCTCCTCCTTTAATAGTTAGGTAAATGGAAAGATCACATGTAAGGTCTCTTCCAGCACAATGACTTGTTCTTTTCCAATGCTTTAAAAGCTCACAGGGTGCATTTCTTAATTGAGAGTGGCCCCCATCCTTAAATCTCAATGATGGATTTTACCACAAGGTATTGTTTTAAGGAGGAAAGGGCAAAGGAAGAAGTGAAGGGACCCCTCAATTTAATGTCATTCTTGTTCAGAGAAACAGGAAAACCTATTATTTGTGCTGTCTTTGAGGAAGGGTTTATCCTTCTGTTTTATTATTCATAGAGAGAACTTTAGTTATCATTTTGTTCAGCTTCCTTATTTTGGAAAAAACGCTGTCACTGACTTTTGCTATACCTGTCACCGTGAAAGGCACTAGAGACCAGAGATAGGAGTAAAATATAGCCATTGCCCTTAAGAGCCTCAGAATAAAGCTCTGAGCATTATAAATCTCCAGATAATCTCACAAGCCACAGGAAATTGAAGAATACAGTTCATTCCTATGAAGAGAGGAGACGGGGAAAACCATCCCAACAAAGATACAGTTAATCTGAACCTTGATGGTTAATTAGAAATGTGTAGTCCTAGCTGGGGAAAACCATTCTCGCCAGAGGAGGTAACAGGGAAGGTAAGAGGTAAAAGAACTTGGAATCTCATGGTACCTAAACGATGTTCAGTCTTGCTGGACTACAGGGTGTGAATAAGGGCATGGGTAGGGGATGAGGCTGGAAAAGTAGTCAAAAGCTGGACTGAAAGGTTACATAAATTATGTTTTTAGGAATTTAGATTTTGCAGATTTTATATTAGAAACAACAGAGAACCTGTTGGGGTTTTCATTTTGGGGCCTAGTTTGTGGACTGGGTAGGTGGAGGATTGTGGAGGCCGCTATTGAGCAATGGTCAAATGAAGAGATGACAAGGTTTGATTTGAGGGTAATAGAAATGGAGTTTAAAGAGAAAGATTTGAGGGATATCTGGGTGGCTCAGTTGGTTGAGCGAACAACTCTTGTTTTCAGCTCAGGTCATGATCTCAGGGTCATGAGATTAAGCCCTGCATTGGGCTCCGTGTTTAGGGCAGAGTCTGCTTGGCACTCTCTCTCCCTGTGTACCTCCCCCCTGCTCTCTCTCTCTCTCTCCCAAATAAATAAATAAATCTTTCAGAAGAGATTTGAGATGTGTAGAGAGGTTCGGGGTCACAACCAGGTGAAGATCAGAGCCAGAGCTAGAAAAATATTCTAGAGTTCTCAACTATTGTTTATATGATCCACAGTGCTTTGCTATGAAAGGCAGTTCTCAGGCTGGTGTAGAGGTTTAAGATCCTGAATTAGGGTAATGATAGTATGAGATTATTCAGAGATTCTAGGCATAAAAAAAAAACACTACCTATAAATGAAGATTCAGGGAGTGTTGGATTATAGGTCTTAAATTAAAAGAGAGCCAGGTATTATATTTCTGCCTGGGACTTCAAGGTTTGGCAGGTAGTCCTAACTGAAATAAGGAAGTTTCATGATTTTCACACTCTGGTAATTTTGACAGTTGCACATCACTGGATGGGTGAAATGCTGTAAATATTAATGAACTGGAACTTCCCACTCAATCTGCATCCTGGGGCCCCTGTCCAGCGTCAGATTTGCCAGTTGTTGACTACTTCTTCTTTTTTTTTTTATTTATGATAGTCACAGAGAGAGAGAGAGAGAGTGAGAGAGAGAGAGGCAGAGACATAGGCAGACTCCATGCACTGGGAGCCCGACGTGGGATTCGATCCCGGGTCTCTAGGATCATGCCTTGGGCCAAAGGCAGGCACTAAACCGCTGCGCCACCCAGGGATCCCCTGTTGACTACTTCTTTATCACTTGATTTTGCTTCCTCTGGATTCTGTATAATTGGCTGAATGAATTAAATCTGGCCCTTCATGGCAATATGATTTGAAGTAATTAAGCTTAGCTTAAACCTCAATTCTTTCTTTCTTTTTTTTGTTTGTTATTTTTTAAAAACATTTTTATGGAAGTTAAATTTAGTTAAAATACAATGTATTATTATTAGTTTTAGGGGTAGAATTTAGTGAATCATTTAGTTGCATGTAATACCCAGGGCCCATTCCATCAAGTGTACTCCTTAATGCCCACCACCCATCCCCCATCCTCCCTCCCACCCACCTCCCCCACCCCGTAACCCACATTTTGTTCTCTGTAGTTAAGAATCTCTTACAGTTTGCTTCCCTCTCTGTTTTTATTTTTCCTTCCTTATCCTATGTTCATCTGTTTTGTTCCTTAAATTCTGCATGTGAGTGAAATCATATGGTATTTGTCTTTCCCTGACTTCTTTGGCTTAGTATAAAATCTTCTAGTTCCATCCAAGTTGTTGCAAATGGCAAGATTTCATTCTTTCTGATGACTGAGTAATATTCCATTATAAATATATACCACATCTGCTTTATTCATTCATCTGTTGATGGACATCTAGGCTCTTTCCATGGTTTGGCTATTTTCTATACTAGAAGGTACATCTATGTCAGTTGTGATCTTTAACATTTCATTTGGATTTGCCTTCTCTACCGAGCTTCTGCTTTCTTCCCATCTGTTATCATCTGCATTTAATTAACAATTGCTAACTCCTGTGTAGATTCTACATGAATTTGGGAGATGCAAATAGAGGCATACTTGAAAACTAAGACCATGATTTTGTGTATGATTCTTAATTCTTAGAAGTGAGTACATGAAAAGAGGTTATATAATAAAACCTATTCTGAGTAGATTTTTTTTTTCTTTTCAGTACTTTGGCTTGAGTGGATAAGAGTCCTAAAATGTTAGACCTATTAGATGAAGTCGTTAAGTGCAAATACTTTTATAGCTGTTAAATTGACACAAGAGGATGCAGCTGTCAGTGGCAGGACCAGACATCACATCTGCAACCACCTTCTCCAGTGGTTTTCCTACTGATTCTAACGGAATCTTGCCATCCCTTCCCTGTGCTGTCTTACTTTCTTTTCCTTCCTTTCTGTCTTGTGTGTGCATAACACATGTGTACACACCTGTGTGTGTGTCACATCTTCCACCTATACCTACCTGTTTCCAAGCATGTTAAAAGTGACCCATTTCCATACAAATTAAAATAATTCTTTCCTCTCAGTTTTGTCAGAATAGAATATATGGATTTTAATTCCTCAATTGAAGTTAGGATTATTGCTCTCTACAACACTTTTATATTACAAAATGCTGTTTGTTAAATATGGAACATATAACCAAGACTGAGATGCACTGAGTATTTTTTTTTAAGTGGATTCCACACCCAGCATGGAGCCCAATGCAGGGCTTGAACTTGGGATCTTGAGATCAAGACCTGAGCTGAGATCAGGAGTCAGTGCTTATTAACTGACGTGCCACCCACATGCCCCTACTGAGTATTTAAAGTTCACTTGGCAGGGGGAGAATGAGAGGATTTATTTGTTTAGGAAACAAACTGCATCTATAAATCACAATTATGATTTTATTCCAGCATTCTTTTTAAATAGTAAGCTCTAAACATGTCTGTGGTCTTCATTCCTAGTTAACAGTTTTGTATAAAAATTGGCTCTCCAGAACTATCACATTCTGGAGATTTAGGCTTCCCAATGACTTTTCTTGAAACCTGAATCCAGAAGACATATGGACTTGTAACCATCTCTGAGAGATCCAAATCCTATTTTTTGTTTGAACTGCTGTTTTAGAGGTTCTGTTTTAAAGGATCTGTTTCTCCCACCAAAATCATTCTCTTGTTTTTTTCCATCAAAAAGTATTGTGAGCTTCTGAGTGCAGAGTGAAGATTTACTCATGTTTGCTTCCTCAGTGAGGAGCATAGTGCCTGGACCACAGCAGGTGTTATTTAAATGTTTGTTGAATGCATGAATGCCCAAACTATGCTAGCTACAGTATTACAACATTTGGTTTTCTTAGAGGCTTGAGTATGAAGAAAACTGGCATCAGCCAGGAGGTGTCTATTGTGAATTGAAGCTGGGGAGTATTTTAAGTATTAGTGAAACTGAAAAATACATCCAATCATTTTAAAGTCATACCACCTCTAAGTGATTCCAGTGATATTTAGTGAGCTCTCCCCCAATTTTTTCTGTGTACTCCATATCTTTATTTGGGTATTTGTGGACATTAATCTCAGAGTGTATGTTTCCTTTGCAGAATCTTGAGAAAACATGCCTCTCTGTAGAGTGGCCCCAGTATGGTGAGGTGATTCAGGAGTGCAGAAAAAGCATGGGACTTTCCATTGTAGTGTCTGGGGATCAGATTCTAGTTCTGGCGCTTATTTTCTCTGTGATCTTAGGGAAGTGGTTTTACTACTCAGCCCCAGCTTTTTTTTTTTTTTTTTCTGTAAGATGTAACAATATCAAACTCTTTACATCACTATTGTGAGGATTAAATGATAGAAAAACGTACAGGGGCTTATAATGAGTATTCACTCACTATATTATAGTGATATATATATGATATATATAACACTCACTGTTATTTTTAGGAAACATCATTTCTTATTTTCTTTATTCATAGTGTTTTCTTTTCTTTTCTTTCCTTTTCTTTTCTTTTCTTTCTTTTCTTTTCTTTTCTTTCTTTTTTTTAGTGAACAACAGGACTGTGAAATTGCTCAGGAAATCCAGGAGAAGCTGGCTATTGAAGCAGAAAGACGACGCATTCAGGAGAAGAAGGATGAGGTACAACTTAGATAATGCCCCTCTACCCTAGCCCAGAGGAGGGACTGCTTTCAGTATTCATAGGCTCAGGTTAGGATTGCCAGGTGGGCAGCTGAGCTCTTGTCTTTGGGGTGCATAGTCTGAGTGTTGCCTTCCACAGACCACTGTTTATTGCCCCTTGATAACCTAATAAGTGAAATCTTAAAAGATAACAGTAATTGAACGTAACATGTGAATTAGTCTCCTAGGACTGCTTTAACAAATGACCCTAAAATTGTTGGCTTAAGACAGTGGGAATGCCAAAGATACAGATGCAGTGAAACGCCGGGACACCTGCACCCCGATGTTTCTAGCAGCAATGTCCACAATAGCCAAACTGTGGAAGGAGCCTCGGTGTCCATCCAAAGATGAATGGATAAAGAAGATGTGGTTTATGTATACAATGGGATATTACTCAGCCATTAGAAATGACAAATACCCGCCATTTGCTTCGACGTGGATGGAGCTGGAGGGTATTATGCTCAGTGAAATAAGTCAATCAGAGAAGGACAAACATTATATGGTCTCATTCATTTGGGGAATATAAATAATAATGAAAGGGAATAGAGGGGAAGGGAGAAGAAATGGGTGGGAAATGTCAGAAAGGGAGACAGAACATGAGAGACTCCTAACTCTGGGAAATAAACTAGGGGTGGTGGAAGGGGAGGAGGGTGGGAGATAGGGGTGACTGGGTGGCGGGCACTGAGGGGGGCACTTGGCGGGATGAGCACTGGGTGTTATTCTGTATGTTAGCAAATTGAACACCAATAAAAAATAAATTCATTATTAAAAAATAAATAAAATAAAAATTCAAAAAAAATTGCTATTGCTACTGGAAAAAGAAAAAAAAAAAAAGACAGTGGGAATGTATTCTCTCAGTTCTGAGGCCAGAAATCTGAACCAAAGTTTTTGTGGGGCTTTGCTGCCTCTGGAAAAGATGATGCTTTGCCCCTTCCAAGCTTCTAGTGGCTCCTGACAGTCTGGCATTCCTTGGCGTGTCACTGCGTCCCTACAGTCTCTGCCTCTATTGTCACATGGCCTTCTTCGCTGTATCTTTGTGTCCTCTTGTTTTCTTATAAGGAAACCACTGATTGGTTCTGGGACCCACCGTAGTCTAGCATGATCTTAACTAATGACATCTGTGAAGACCTTATTTTTGAATAAGGTCCTTTTCTGGGGTTCGTGGTAGAAATGAATTTTTAGGAGACACTCTTTGACCCAATACAGGCTGTATTCCTGCGATCTTGAGAGGGAAAGCACAGACCTGAGCGTAGGCTGAACGGGAGTCAGTACATGTCATTGTGGGAGGTCACAAGCTGCCGTTGCTTTCACTCTTCGTTGCTTCTGGCTTCACTCTTCTATGAGTTCTGCCTCAAAGAACTAATCTTTTGGATTCTGTGGATATTTTAAAATTGTATTGTTTTTAAAGCTGAAAATGACTAAAGGTATCAATAGTGGTTTGTTGGTAAGAAGACTTGAATTTGCAGTTAACTAACTTGAATTTGCCTTTGTGTTGGACTTTTAGCATATCTTACAAACAATTCCTTTTCATTGTGTATTGATTCTGCATCTGCCTTCTTTGAAACCAATTGTGCTGTTCTTGGTCACAGGTTAAGGTTATATTAAAGAAGATGAAAAAAAAAAGAAGAAGATGATTTATAATTTTAATAGTAGGATTGCCATAGATTTATTGTATGTATACTCAAATATATTTCTGGGTTAAAAGGGGCACTATTAACTGGGCCTGTCCTGAGTACCAGCACATGTGATCATCCTGTTAAATAGGTGGGATGAGGGCCATCAGTAAACTAGCCTGCATATACTGCTGCTCCCACAGAGCCATCCTTGTTCCTATAAGACGACTTGTACTATGCCAGGTGAGCATGAGACACCTGGTATGTGTGTATTTAGCTGTTTTTTTGTTTTGTTTTGTTTGTTTGTTTTTTAAGAAACAAACCTTGATTTTGTAATAATCAGAACTGCAAGTAAGAATTAAGAATTCCCTTTTATCCTTCCTGTTATCAACACAGGAACTCTTTCTTACTACAGGATGTGTTGCCTCTCTGTAGTTAATACTTTGCTTTTAGGGATGAAACTGGGAACTGAAAGGAGTGATTATATTTTCTAAACAGGAAAGCTTTTATTTTAAAAATAACAGAGTAATGAACTTGGCTTCTTATAAATGCTACTGGTGTCCTGTGATTTTTTTTTTCTCCCATTCAGGAAAAACAGGGGAGAATGAAAAACTAAAACACTTTATTTAGGCATGTAGAATCTAAACAGTGATCATACTAAATAGTCTCATGGTAATACTATATAAATGTAAGCAGTTTAGTGATTAATTCTTTTTCAGATGAAGAAATTAAAACTTGAAGAAGTCAGTGTCTGTTCCCCAGCTATAATAAGATGCCAGAGAAATGTCTCTATAGTTCAGGTCCTCTGACTGACCACTTCTGACACACATGACCTGTGATTCAATAAACATGTAACCTTTGGAGTCAGACTGCCCTGGGCTTGAATCTTAGCTTTTTAACTTTTGGCTGTGACTTTAGAATCTCACTTAACGGGATCCCTGGGTGGTGCAGTGGTTTGGCGCCTGCCTTTGGCCCAGGGCGCGATCCTGGAGACCCGGGATCGAATCCCACGTCAGGCTCCCGGTGCATGGAGCCTGTTTCTCCCTCTGCCTGTGTCTCTGCCTCTCTCTCTCTCTCTCTGTGTGACTATCATAAATAAATAAATAAATAATAATAATAATTAGAATCTCACTTAACCTTGTAGAACCCAGGTTCCAAATTGGAGATAGCATGATGATTGTACAAACCCTGGAGGGCTGAGTGAGATCATGTATGTAAGGCCTCTGAGACATATTAAGTGAATAATTTCTTTCTTTTTTACTTTCTTGCCAATTTTTTCCACATCCTTCTGCCCTTTATAACAGCTCTTGTTTCTCTTACATAGAGATGTATGCTAAATTAGAAAGGGAAAAAATAAACAGGCTTAAGTATATTCCAGTCTAGTGTGATCTGAGTAGTCTTCATGCATTTCCTTGCCTTGATAGGCCTCCCAGCTGACTTGCCCTCTACTGCTGTTTGACCTGGTGAAATGGCCCCATTCCCCAGTGCAGTGGAGAGAATTAAAGGAGAAATTCAGTAGGGGAGATTTAGTGAGACTAACCTTAAAAACTATGTTCAGACTCTGACTTTCCAGCTGATGCCTTAGATTAGAAGATGCCTACCATGCTGAGTTGTTCTCTTAACAAAAGATAGGACTCTCAGCTGACTGGTATGTTACTAATATTAAATGAACAAGATTTGTAATAGTAAAGCTTATCATTGAAGGATGTATAATAATGCATATTTATTTATTTTAGTCCTGCAGAGGAGACTGAGACTGAGATGAGATAATAGTGGGTTTTTTCCGGCCAACTCTTGAAAAAAAATGTTGCCTGTTACTCATGAACTACCCTAATTCTTTTTAAAATTTTTCTCCATGTATGCTCTTCTGTTTCCTTGTGGAGTCTGCTTAGCTAGTAAGTTCTTACTGAACAGCAGAGCTGTGGAAAATTCCTCTCTGGATTTTCACCCAGATCTCATTTTCAGAGATTTTTGGGGTCAATTCTCTTTAGTAGTTTATTACCCTTCAAACAACCAGATGTAGAATCCAAGGCCTCTTTTCTCTTGGGACAGAGTATTTTTCCTGCATAGCATTGTACATGAGAAGAAATACAATTCTGTGTGGGCGAATTAGCATTTCTAGCTTTGTTATGGTATAATTTTATTGTGCTTTTTAACACAGCACAGATGTAAGGCAACTAGCATTTCCAGGCAGAGAGGCAGATGTAGAAAAGTTTTTTTAAAAAAAGAAAGGAAGGAAAAAAAGAAAGGAAGAAAAGAAGGAAAGAAAGAAAAAGAAAGATCTTTAGTATTCTTACCAGCATTGTAACTTCCCCCTTCCTGCTTCTCCCTTACTTCCCCTTCTCTTTCTTCTTTCTTTTTTTCTCCCATCCTTCCTCCCTCTCATCCTTCTTTTCAGCTTTTCTCCTTAAAACAAAAACAAAAACAAAACAAAAAACATTTTTACGTCGTGTGACTATAGTAGTTCCATTTCTCTCTAGGCCTCTGTGGAAGCAGGGTTTTGTAGCCTTTGGGAATACTGGACTGTATGTGTTTGTAACTAAGAAAAGTGGACTAATTCCATTGGGATCATTCTCTTTGGTCACAGCATAAGCATTTGTCATTGTTGTTTCATAAAGCTAAGGAATGTGTTTAGTCGATTTAAGTAATTTTTGAATAAAACTCCTAAGCATATGTGTGTTTGTTTAAATATCTATAGATATACATATATGTTTCTTTTGAATCTACATCCAAATATATGTGAAATGTGCAACTATTTTAGGGCAAAACTTTTTTTTTTTTTTTTTTTTTTTTTTGCTTAAGGAAACATTAGCATGACCATATTATGAAAAGTCTGTGGCACTAGTCCAACAGTTTGAAGCCATTTATAATATGAACTGTTCAGGGATAAACTTAGTAACGAGTCTACATTAAAAATTAATCTAGTGTGAACCATGGTATTTTTTCATAACATTCTTAAAGTGATTAGAATTTCATATTCTAAAAGAATATTTATGTAAGTTGGTAATAATTAGAGCATACTTCAAATAGCAGTACATTTTAGCTACTAAAAAAATGCCTTATGTTTTGGTACTTTAAAAATAAGATTATGCATATATGGCCAGAAAGGGGGAGTGAGTAGAAGGTTGTTGATTGAGAAGATTCTTCTCTCTTCTTATCTTGGTTATAGTGATGTTTTTACATCCATAGAATTGGTACGTTGTTTTCCAGTCTTAAACCCCGCTGGAGAGTATACCTGTTCTGAGTTCCCTACTGAATTAGATGTTACTTGCTAGTTGATAAAGAAGTGTAGCAATCTAATGGAATGGGTTTCTTCTTTTCTCTTTCTGATAGTTATTTAATAATCACATTTTTAGATTTCCTTGATTATTTTTATGCCAAAGATTTCCTAATTTTGAAACCTACTACCATTGAGGAATAGAAGTGGAAACTTTCAGGGGAGAAGTAACCTAATATAAAATCATATAAACAAAAAAAAATAGCCTAAGGAACCCAACATATTAGTTTAGTAATTTTTTTTTAAAGATTTATTTATTTGAGAGAGAGACAGACACAGAGTATGAGCAGGGGGTGGGGGTGGGGAGGCAGAGGGAAGAGACAGTGAATCCCAAGCAGACTCCCCCTGAGCATACGGCCTGGTATGCAGGGCTCAATCCTATAAGCCTGAGATCATGACCAGCTGAAATCAAGAGTTGGGCACTCATCCCACTGAGCCACCCAGGCACCTCAATGGTTTAGTAATTTGTCATCTACTTGGGAATGATGTGTTAGGCTCTTCTGGGCTCCACTATGCCTTGTTTGTGATAATGCCTTTCTTAGAGCACTCACTTTTGCATATCTTAAATTATACTAATCATTTTGCTTCTAAAACTTAATAGGTAAGAACCTTGAGGATATTGACCACATATCCTGTTTCTCTACAGGTCTGTAGGAGAATGTTTGGTCCATTGAAGGCAATTAGTAAGACTATGTTTTCATTAAAATGACTTGTTTTATCATCTAGAGATCCTTAACTGTGTTCTGTCTTATGTTCATAGTTTAAAATTTTCAAGATTTGGATACCATAGTGAGTTTTCATTCCAATAAATGTATTTACTAGAAAGTCTTCTAATTACAGTTTTTTGTTTTGTTTTTTCACATGAGCCCAAAGTAAGCCTACCTGATTAGTATGATTAATTAAAAAAATAATTTAAAATGACTTCAGAAGAGCTTATGAGTTCTTTTAGGTTTGTTTTCTCAAGTTATTTTTTATGAAACAGTAATTCCATTAGGTTTATACCTTTTATGTAAAAAGCCTTTTACTCAAAACAAATTTGAATATTTTTAGGTTATAGGAAGATGACAGGTTTCTTTTATCAAGTTTTAAAATAATCTATTGTGCATTTCAAAGAGTTAGATGTAATGCAGGCTTTCCATTGAATGCTTTGTGTTTCTTGGAGAACCTTTAGAGACCAGCATTCTCAGGAATAGAGCTTTGGAAATGCTGTTCTAGACTAACCTTTACAGGAAGAAAGCTAAGGACCAAGGAGCTTGTTTATGACTAAGCTGCACGCAGCAGCATTGTGACTAACTGAAATCTTCAGTTTGTTTCAGGGGAAGTTTTTTCTACTGAAATCACCTCCCTGCAGGCAGTGCACAGTGATGTTGAAAAGTAGGGAGGGGCCCGCCCTTGGACTAAACCACAGCTCTAAGTCAATCACTGGTCTGTGAAGTCTATCCTTTCCCTCCTCAAGCCAGCAGCCTTTCCTCTCACCAAGTGGAAGCTTACTCAAAAAGGAGCTGAGAGCTTAAAAGAGCAACAGGTTTGGGTGCTAAGGAGCATAACTGTTTCTCTCTTTGATGAAAAGCACTTTCTTTGGCTAATGCACGGTAAACAAGTGGCATCATCCTTGTTTCTTTCCTCCTTGTTCTTCACACTGAGAACACAGCTTATTACTGTATATTCATCAGGATAAAGTTCAGTAGCAGGAAAGCAATTATAAGGTCTCTAAAGCATAGTTTCGTTAAATCATTTATGCTGGCAGTTGGACCTGGTAATTTTCCTGTTTATTTTTACTCAGTTACAGCAAGGGAAATTTCTTGTTTCCTCTAAAGCAAACCGTTTGTAGTGTCAGGTGCTCAGTAAACATGATAGCTCAGGAAAGTTTTGCATTTTCTTCCTATTCGGCACTAAGAAGTATAGAGATTTGGGAAACTTTATTATAATAATAATAGCTTTGGGAGAACAGTTATCTGTCCTACTTGTCTCTCTTGAACTGATTGGTATATTACTTTATAAGATATCAAATACGTTGAACCTGGTACAGGGGTTCTATGTAGTAACAGATTTATTAAAATGATATATTAGGAAATTAAGACATTGGACTTTAAGATTGACTAGTAATGTGTCTGTATAGATATATGTATGTATAGAATATGTAGATACAGGTATGTATATATATCTATAGGTATGTATGTGTGTGTATATACATATATAGAGAGTGAAGATTGGGTAGTTAAGTAGCAGAGAGGTATGTACACCTTTCACAAAATTTTATGAAACACTTGCAGCATAGAAATCAGTTAGAGATAGTAGGTTATTAGTATATTCATAAGCTTGAATTTAGATATTCATTTAATAAAAAGGCAGATTTGTAAGGCCATTTTGATGATCATTGAAAGCTAAGTGTGTGGATGATCATTGCTGATTTACCTAGCTGCAGCATCCTTCATGTTTCTGCACTGACATGAAAGAAATTGATTCATTCAGATGAATTTTTTTGAAGTTTGCCTTCTAGTCTTCATATAGTCTTCATTTTGACTTATTTGGAAAATTGCAAAAGGGAGAGTAGTAATGAATTCTTGCTTCAAAATTTATATCAACATTTAAACACTTCTTGTCTTATATAAGTACTTAGTGTAAATAGAAAGTAAGCACCTTAAACTACCTATGATTATTATCATTTTTCACCAGTGAATGCTATTGTATATTTGTGTGATAGTTAAGAATCTGGTGAACCTAGGGACCTTCTTTCCAAAAGAATGTACATGGAACAAAGTTTATGTGGGGTTTTGTTGGGCTTTCATAGAAATGAGCTTCAGTTTCAGAACACTGTCACTGGCTAGCTCAAAACCTTTAGTAACCCTTCATCTCTTAAACTGTAGACTCCAGACTTCTTGAGATTTTGTGTTAAGGACTGCCTGTGATCCAGTGTCAGAGTGTTTTTCCAGCCTCATCTTTCTCTTTAACACCGTATCTCCTGTGTTCTAATGCACTGTTGGTTGTCACCCAGTTAAAACATTCATATTTTTTCTGAGGTTGTTCTCCCTCCTTACTTTGCCTATTGGAATCCAGTTCTTTATTCAAAACCTAATGCAAATGCAAAGACTTGCCATAATTAACTTCAGCAGAAATGAGATTTGCCTCTTTTATACTCACATTGACATTTTTACCCTCTTATTAAGGGATTTGTGATTTAATTGTATTGTAGTTATTTGCATATACCTTTGTTTTCTTACAATGATGGTAATCTCTTGGGAGGCAGGATCAGAATGTTATTCATCACCCAGTAACTGCTAAAAACTTGCCTGAAAATGAAGCAAAGGGTAGACAGAATACTGTTTTTTCTTTTTCAGTGAAGACAGTCTAATGAAAAGCTAAATCAGAATCAGCTGAAGAATTATAAAGCTTTAAAATTAAATTATACATATGATTTATAAATTTTCATAGATTATTGCTCTCTTCTCCATGCAGACTTACTGAATCATAATCTGGAAAAAGGGCCCACAAATAAGTATTTTTAAAAATCTGTTGTGTAACCAGCTTTAGGAATACTAGATTTGTATGACTCCAGATTGAGTTAGACATAAATTTTGATTTTTTTTAAACCTTTCTTGTTCATCTGGATCATACACTGCTCCTGTTGAGCAGTTATCTATGGTGTTTGAATGGCATGAGCTCAATGCCAGGAAGTCTGGAAAGCTATGGACAGAACCCACAAAAGCTTGGCAACGGAATGTCAGACCACTGACTTAGAGGGCTACTGGATGGAATCTGTTTCATTATAAAAGGTTTCATTCTCTGGTAATATTGATTAGTGTTCTGTCTGTTTTTACAGGACATAGCTCGCCTTTTGCAAGAAAAGGAGTTACAGGAAGAGAAAAAGCGAAAGAAACACTTTCCAGAGTCTTCTGGATCCAGTGCTTATGGAGATAGTTACTATTATGAAAATGGAGGTAACAATGGCTACATTATGACTTACTCTGTCTTTAGACTCAACCATAAGACACCCCTTTAAATTTGTAAAGTGACCTCAGGGCCCATAAGGATTTGTGGCCAAATTCTCTCTGAATCTATTGAATTCATCAGTTCCTTAGTTGAATATCAGAGCCATTTTTATGGCTATTAAAACAATTGTGGTTTTGTAAGATTTGACATGCATTCTGTTATGCTATAACCACTTGGAATGCTGTACTACATTCTAAACACATAAACTGGGCTGTAAAAAGTGGGGGTGTGTCTCTGGGCTTGATCTTTCTCAAGGAGTCTGGACAGAATGTCTGAAGCAGCAAAGTGCCATGAATGATGAAGATGGTACACCATACATCAGTTGGGTAATAAAACTTTTTCCCATACCTCTTGTATTTCAAAAATAGGCCAATAACTATGTGTGTTGACGACAAAATTAAATTCTAAGATTCTTCTTTCATTATTTACCCTTGATACTTTCTTGCTATTTGATTGCCATATAGAAAAATTCCTGAGGGAGAAGTCCCTTCTGAATTTCTCTACTCTAGTGCTTGCTTTTGCAGTGTGGTGACAGCAATGGTATTGTGGTGGCAATTGTGGTACTGGTGATTCTTTATCTTTAAAGTGTGTTGGGAAATGAGTATTTGCAAATATTGTTCTGCCTTTTTAAGAGATCTGTCAAAGGAGAGGTATTCCCTATAATTCTAATGTCAGTATTTATTGTAGTTCAGCTTGGAGACCAAGCTTAGGGTAGCAAGTAACACCTAAAGCAGTTCCTAGAAAGTAATAATATCAAGGTCAATGATCCCAAAGGCCCTTGTGAGCTAATTATCAATTATTTCTGTATAATTTCATAGTAAAAGGTAAATAGGTATTTATCTTTGATGAGCAGAATGCAAGCTATGCATACATAGATGCTAGGATTATTACAGTTGAGTACAATCTTGCCCAGTCACGCTCTAAATTTATTGTTCTCAGTAGAGCTCCTTTCTATTGCATAGTAAGCGGGTTGATTCCCTATGGTTTGATGTGCTCTTCTTCCATATGTAAAATGCTCGGCCCTTTTTTGATAGTCACTTTCTATATGCTGATTTTTCTAATGAAATTGTGTATTACATCTTTTAAAAAGAAAAAAAATATCGCCATATATTTCTGTGCTAGAGACCAGAAGGTCAAGAGTTTATTCTCCAGTTTTAATTAAAAGCTTAGAAATGTGCTCTGGTGTTTTCCATTTGTTTTTATATTTATTTCTGCTCTGGAATAGTTTTCACTAAAAATAAAAGTAACGATTTAAAACTATTAAGTCTATAAAAACATTAGGATGGCAAGTAATTAAGTATACTAAAGTATTAATTTTGGCCTTCCTCTATTAAAACCTTAGACTAATTTCAGTCGGGACTGAAATCTGGTGGTTTTAACCAGAGTGCTGTCATCCCTCTAGGACAGGAGACTATGTTAAGAATTTAGTAGTTTTTCAAGGACACCTTAAAGTAAAAACAAAAACAAAAACGTGATGTCATGATCTCCTGAGCCATATTCATGTAAATATTAAAATTCCTCTTCAGGTGTTGTTGTTCAGAGTTTATAGATTGCTGAACATGTGTGATCCTCATTCATTTACCTTTGAGTTAGACAAAGTTGTGTTCCATAAAAACCACATTATAATTCAGCTCTTACCCACAAAGTAATCCTTGTGTCCTTTGCAGTAGTCTTTTCCCAACACATAAGGATATTCTTTAATTGTATTTCCCTCTATATGTATACTATGATTTTTGCCTTAATTATGTAATAAATACAGTAGGTCATTACAGAAGTGGTCTTCTTTTTAGCTTTTATTTTACTTAAGCTTTAATCTTAAAAATGATCATTTATTGATTTTCTGCAAATCTGAAATTATCTAAAACATCTGTCAGATTTATATTAGTTGAAATGGTATGTCTTACTCATTCGTGAATCCATGTTTTTCTTTCAAAGCCATACCTGTATCATAGGCATATTAAGTAATTTCTTTTAAGTCATGGTCTTTGGAATCATAAGACCTTGGTTCAAGTTGCATCCCTTCATTAGAACAATTGCAGTGTTGAAGCTATCTACTATAATCATGCTAAGCCTTTTTCTCATTTGTAAAATATATATTTTAAAAATACATCCTGCACCTGGATGTTGAGAAGATCACCATAAATAATGTTATTTTGGCGAGGACTTCAAGTACTATTGTTTATACATATATCAATATTATGTGTGTATAACAATATCTTACATATCTAAACAAAAATCATCTTATTTTGAAAGAAAGACATGGAAACATACAAATAAAATGTGTACATAAATATGTATGTGTGTATATAAATGTAGGTATTGGCTATAAGGAAGTTAATTATATTTGCCAAATAACTTGGCCTCAAGAAACATAGAAGTCTCAGTCCTTAACTGGACAGAGTTCAGAGTTTCAAAAGATTAAAACAGATTCCCCCTCCCCAGTCTCTTTCCTTTCCCAGGTTTAAAGATAATCACAAGTGAACTAGACAAATTGTTTTTTCTGTCAACTCTAATACAAATATAGTGACAGCTCTATTCTAATTCTTGGAGCTTAATTACCTAAAGTAGAAGTACTAATATCAGTTAACTTTTTAGAAGGGATTAAAAACAACAGAACAATCATAGCTTCACATATCCATGTCAGAAACAAAGCTCTGCTTGTTTTTGGGGGGCTAGAAGGCAGACTTCATTCATGCAGCTCTCTGTGGGAACACTGGTATTAACACTAAACCATTGTTCCCTGGATGTGGTCATCATTTAAGTAGCAAGTCAATATTGTATTAATAATTCATAGCAGTAGTCAATAGCTTCTTTCTCAATCGTCAAGATACGCTTAAAATAATAGTTATTATTTAATAATAATTATTATTCTGTTTCACTTTCTTTTGTGTAAAAAATAAATTTAACAAAAAATTCTGCAGATAATTTTGTAAACTTCCGAGATGACGGATTTTAATTTAGATGTCATCTTTGAAGCAAATTTCCTTTTCTCCTGGAAAGCTCAAGAGGAAACAATTTGAAGTTTTTGAGATGCTTTATGGCATCAATGATACATTTAGTACATATCTCCCTTTCCTTCTTTCCTTTATTAGGTTAACAACAAATTAAAAAAAAAAAACAAAAACCCAAAAAATTAAGAAAATGTATAGTCCATATGTTCTCTACATCCCATCAAATTGGGGTAGCTGGTTCAAATGCAATTTAGCAAGTGTGTAATTTCAACAGGGAACATAGCTAATTTAGCAGTTTTCTATGGATTTAGGATGTCTTTTTTTATTATAGAATATACTGAGAGTCTTAGAAAGTGTTAAAATAAACGTGCCTTGCAAAGTGCATAGTAATATCCTTCCTTCATTTTCATCATATATTTTGCTTCAGTGGGACCTGACCAAAGCATCCTTCTGTGCTGTTTTTGAAATTTGTGTACATTTAGGACTTGTATATTTAGCACACACTGTATTTTTATACAAAGAATATAATATCAAAATATTTTGAAATGAATGTAGGGATGGAAGTGACTCCTTTTTCTATATTCTGTTATGGCAACGTATTTTAATTTTTTCCTCTACCAAAGTTAAGGAAGTTTGGGATCAGAATTTATCTACAAAGAACAGGGTCATTTACTCAAAATTCTCTACTCCAGTTCTCTTCCACATTGAACTGTGCATGGCTGGGAGAAAGTAGGGAAATATAAAATTTGGGTCACTTACCTGAACTAAACAGATACTAGCACATCCTGATAGAGATTTATTGTCATTTCCAATAAGAATATTTGAAAGCCTCTTCTAGAAAGCTAGTTATTACCAAGCTTGGTTGTTTTCTGTTTTATGACTCCCTGAACTCCCCACAGTAACTCCAAATTGGTTTTATAAGTAGAATTTAACATTTGATGGCTGTGATTTTTGTTATTGGCAAATATTAAAGAATTATATTAACTCTCCTAATGATAATCAAGTTCCTTTCAGATTTATTTCACATAATTTTAGTCTTTTACATTTTGATTGTGTACCCAGAATCCTTCATGTATGCACAAACCATTCCAATAAATGCCTGTCCCCTTTTTTTTTCATTTTGTTAAGTTGAAAAAGTAGTCTTCTCCATTTTAAAATACATTAAGCTTGGGCCCTGTCTTTCCTGCATAGTGAGTTCATACTCTCATTAAGTTAACCTGCGTTTCTATTTTTCACACCCCTCCACTTCCACTCAGACCAGCCACAGTCAAGGAGGGCAAGGGAATTGGGTTCTGGAGTCTCAAGGTCATGTAGACTCCAAAGTGATGGAAACATTGTGAAGCAAAGGAACAAGAAACTCAAACATCCAGTGGAGAACTTGGAAGAACTAGAAGATCATTGTTCATCAGGGAAATTTCTGTCATCCCGTAGCTTGGGCACATTGAGGGCCAATCCCCAAATTGACATTGAGCAGCGTGAAAGGAAACGGTCTGACCATGAGAGACGTCGGAGACCTCCGCTCCCCAAGATCAGTGGTGAGGTGTTTCTGAGTACTGGATTTGATGACGGGGAAGCTCACAGTAGCCATCGAACTTGGAATTGGGAAAAACAATCCAGACACCAAGACCGGCTTTCACCCAAGTCTTCACAGAAAGCAGGGCTTCATTGCAAGGAAGCTGTATATGGGAGGGACAATGGGCAAGGGGAGCACAGAGAAAGGAAGCACAGGCCCAGGACCCCTCCCTTCCCAGAGAGTGAGGAACAGCTCCAACTCCATGACACAGGTAATGAAGGACAGTCGCCTTGAAAAGTCCTCGTATCACATATATGCATACAAGCAAATATATTTGATAAGCATCTTTAGCAACCTCTTCTTTCTCTCTAGTCTGTACTGGTGGCTTTAAAATAAATCCTGGAGCCAAACATTATAAAAGGTATCTACTTAGTATCAAGCATGTAAGAAAAAGAAAAATATTTGTACCTTTCTCCTACTGCCTTCTAAGAAAATATACCAGTTCTTTGCAGAGTTTTCCAGCCCCAGAGTGCAGTGAGGTGCCCATCCCAGATACAGTTCTTCATTTGCCGAGACCATATACCAGAAATTCCTATACCAAATCAAAGCTCTTGAGTTTCTGGTTGTAAGTCAGGTATGTTGATACTGTCATCATAGTATTTGCCTGACTGGAGAACCACCCAGGCTGGAAGTACCAGCTTCTCTTGATCTCATCTGTAAAGTGAGATTGGACAGGCATTCTCTCATAGCAGCAGATTTCTAATTGTGGGCCTTAGGCTTTTTTTTTTTTTTTTTTTTTTTGTCAGAATCAACTAGGCTGTTTCCAAATGAGGCAACTTTCTGGATCTCACATATATGATCATTTCTGTAGTTTTCCCTGGTGATTTGGACTTGTTTTAGACCTGTGCTTGAAGTTGGAAGACTGTTGCCTTAAGTTCCTTTCTAAGGTCTAACCATATTCGGCTTTTAGGCTGCAGTTGATGTTCTGAAATGACAGTATTGGGTATGTTCTTAGTGTTTGTTTGAAATGAAGTGAATGTTAGATTTGAGCCTCAAATTTCTGGTCTCTGAGGCTTAACTGATGTTCTTCAGTGACACAGTACTGTGTTTCTCGTTTTTATCTGGAAACTGCTGTGGTGCTGTTTTCCTTGTGGCTCTACCACTGTAAGTCATAATTAGACCATACTCCCCTCCCTGGTTCTATTTTACTTTCCTGAAGTTTTAAAGAGATGCAGGAGTTATTGAGCAGTACCACGGAGGTATCTGTTCTTATTTCCATCCTTTTTACTGCCCAGTCAAACTCTACTTCTGGGTCTGGAAACTGTTTTTTGGGTTGCAGATTCGGATTGATACAGTTGGTTTCTTCTATCATGTTATCTCTTCCTATGATGTTAGTCATTTAAGTTATTAAAAGACTTGGTAATAAATAAAATGAAAATTTGATATTGAGTATCTGCCAAAAGTATTACTACCTCAGGCTTTATGTTCAGGGATATATGCTTGAATCTGAGCCTCAGGGGGTTTACTAAGTCAAGCCAGAAAGTAGAATGAATGTAAACAAACAATTGGAAATTAGATATGCTTTGAACAAAGAGTAGAGGAGGTGGTGATATAATCTATGTATAATAAGTTATACTGTCCATATCCAAATGTAGAAAGACATGTTGGAGTCCTAACATGGGGGGGGGGGGATTGTACCTGCCTCTACATTTCTGATTCTGTGATTCTGACGTCTTGTGTGTTCTGAGGGCTGGTTTATATGGCTTTTAATTATATGTGAGTCTCAACACAGGCTTAGGAAGGGTAAAATTGATAGGAAATCAAACACTGATTCACAACCCTCCTACTGGAATTGTGGGCAAACTCCCCCCTCACCCCCCAGTGGTTTAAAAAACAATGTGGCTAAGCAAGTACTAAAATGGCTACAACATAGCTGCTAATCTATCATTCTGTATTCAACTTTACAAATGTTACCTTCCTAGAGACCTTAGGCATTTGCTTTTGTGACCGCTAGAATAGAAGTTTACATTAAAATGCAGTTATTAAATACTGGTGTCTGTTCTTGTTTTTGTAAAGGCACAGTTCTTAAAGTTGTTAGCAGAGGCCAAAGTTTTATTTAAGTTAGTAATGAAAAAACCAGCAGGATGACAAAGAGCTAGTTCTAATGGAATTTGCATAGTCCATTGAAAGAGGAATGCAAAATACAGTTGCTAAATTAAATATAGGATTGGTTAACTTTCTAAAGAACAGTAAAACCCTATCTCCTCTGAGGGTGACTTCTCTAATGAGCTATTAAATCATAACAGCGTATTATTTCCTGCAGGTTAACTTTCAACCTCTTAGGGCCATAAAACTTTTGTATCTTTCTGCTGTGACATTCCCCAAGCTTCAGACTGGCATATTAAAAAATATTCTTGCATGATATCCAAGAATCTATCAGTCACGATTTTACCTTATCCCAGGCTTGGGATAGGTGTGTCTTAAATATCAGTACTTCTAATAATTTTAGCTTATTTGGTGAGAATTTAAAGGTAAGGTTTGCATATGTTTGTTGGAGGAGGTTCTTGTGTCCTTAAACTGGAGAAGATGAACAAAAAGAAGCAAAGATTAGATTCAGAATTGAATCTGGAGGGGCACCTGGGTGGCTCAGTCGGTTAAGTGTTCAACTCTTGATCTAGCTGAGGTCATGATCTCAGGATCATGAGATCCGGCCCCACATCAGACTCTGTGCTGAGTGTGGAGCCTGCTTAGGATTCTGTCTCCTCCTCTCCTTGCCTTCTCCTCCCACCCTCGATTCCCCCCCCCTTCTTTCTAAAAGAAAAAATAATTGAATGTGCAACTGTTACATATGGCTCACTTGATCTTTTTTTTTTTTTTAAGATTCTATTTGAGAGGGAGAGAGAGTCCACAAGTGGGGTGAGGGGATGGGCTCTGAGGGAGAGAGAGAAGCAGATTCCCTGCTGAGAAGAGAGCCCTACTCCAGACTCTATACCAGGACCCTGGATTCATGACCTGAGCCAAAGGCAGGAGCTTACCCAACTGAGCCATTCAGGCGCCCCTCACTTGATCTTTTGAAGGCTAGTTTTTGGATTGTTTGGGCTATTAAGATGAGAGCAGCCATTCCGTTAGTTTCCTTCAACTAACTTTTTAAAATTTTTGAAGCATCTCTGTTTTCTATAATGAAATGTACAGCCTTACAATATAGTATGTGAAGTTCTTCTTATTTAAATAAGCTCTTTTTACCTCTGGTACAGAGCATACTACATTTAGTGAGCAATTTTGCCAGTCCAGAAATCCAACATTTTAGGCTATGAGATTTTATGCTTGTGAGACATGTAAATTCCAGTGGTATACAGTAGTTCAAATAAACTGTTTCCCCACTAGATATTTGGGATTTAGAGATATTACCTCAAATACTCATTAATCATTCATTCATTCATTCATTTATATTGAGGTATAGGTAACATATAACATTATATTTGTTTCAGGTGTACAACATAATGATTCGATATTTGTGTATATTGCAAAATGTTCACAATAAGTCTGGTTAATATTCATCACAATATATATAGGCACAATTTTTTTCTTGTGATGAGAACTTTTAAGATATACTCTCTTAGCGACTTTCAGATATGTAGTACAATATTATTAGCTGTAGTCACCATGCTTATTTATTTTATAACTGGAAGTGTGTCCCATTTATCCCCCTTCACCCATTTTGCGCATTCCCTACCCTCTGCCTCTGGCAACTACCAGTCTGTTCTCTGTATCCATGAGCACTTTTTTTTTCCATTTTTTAAAATGATTCTCTATATAAATGAGATCATAAAGTATTTGTTTTTCTCTGACTAATTTCATTTAGTATACGGCTGTCAGGGTCCCTCCCTGTTGTTGCAAATGGCAAGATATCCTTTTTTATAACTGAATAATATTCTACTGTATAAATACCACAATTTCTTTATCCATTTATATGTTTTTTATAATAAATTTATTTTTATTGGTGTTCAATTTGCCAACATACAGAATAACACCCAGTGCTCATCCCGTCAAGTGCCCCCCTCAGTGACCGTCACCCATTCACCCCCACCCCCAGCCCTCCTCCCCTTCCACCACACCTAGTTTGTTTCCCAGAGTTAGGAGTCTTCATGTTCTGTCTCCCTTTCTCACATTTCCCACCCATTTCTTCTCCCTTCCCCTCTATTCCCTTTCACTATTATTTATATTCCCCAAATGAATGAGACCATGTAATGTTTGTCCTTCTTCGATTGACTTATTTCACTCAGCATAATACCCTCCAGTTCCATCCACGTTGAAGCAAATGGTGGGTATTTGTCGTTTCTAATGGCTGAGGAATATTCCATTGTATATATAAACCACATCTTTATCCATTCATCTTTCGATGGACACCGAGGCTCCTTCCACAGTTTGGCTATTGTGGACATTGCTGCTATAAACATCAGGGTGCAGGTGTCCTGGCGTTTCATTGCATCTGTATCTTTGGGGTAAATCCCCAGCAGTGCAATTGCTGGGTCGTAGGGCAGGTCTATTTTGAACTCTTTGAGGAACCTCCACACAGTTTTCCAGAGTGGCTGCACCAGTTCACATTCCCACCAACAGTGTAAGAGGGTTCCCTTTTCTCCGCATCCTCTCCAACATTTGTGGTTTCCTGCCTTGTTAATTTTCCCCATTCTCACTGGTGTGAGGTGGTATCTCATTGTGGTTTTGATTTGTATTTCCCTGATGGCAAGTGATGCAGAGCATTTTCTCATGTGCGTGTTGGCCATGTCTATGTCTTCCTCTGTGAGATTTCTGTTCATGTCTTTTGCCCATTTCATGATTGGATTGTTTGTTTCCTTGGTGTTGAGTTTAATAAGTTCTTTATAGATCTTGGAAACTAGCCCTTTACCTGATACGTCATTTGCAAATATCTTCTCCCATTCTGTAGGTTGTCTTTTAGTTTTGTTGACTGTATCCTTTGCTGTGCAAAAGCTTCTTATCCTGATGAAGTCCCAATAGTTCATTTTTGCTTTTGTTTCTTTTGCCTTCGTGGATGTATCTTGCAAGAAGTTTCTGTGGCTGAGTTCAAAAAGGGTGTTGCCTGTGTTCTCCTCTAGGATTTTGATGGAATCTTGTCTCACATTTAGATCTTTCATCCATTTTGAGTTTATCTTTATGTATGGTGAAAGAGAGTGGTCTAGTTTCATTCTTCTGCATGTGGATGTCCAATTTTCCCAGCACCATTTATTGAAGAGACTGCCTTTCTTCCAATGGATAGTCTTTCCTCCTTTATCGAATATTAGTTGACCATAAAGTTCAGGGTCCACTTCTGGATTCTCTATTCTGTTCCATTGATCTGTGTGTCTGTTTTTTTATTTTATTTTATTTTACTTTATTTTATTTTATTTTATTTTATTTTATTTTATTTTATTTTATTATTTATTTATTTATTTATTTATTTATTTATTTATTTATTTGTGTGTGTGTGTGTGTGTGTGTGTCTGTTTTTGTGCCAGTACCACACTGTCTTGATGACCACAGCTTTGTAGTACAACCTGAAATCTGGCATTGTGATGCCCCCAGCTATGGTTTTCTTTTTTAAAATTCCCCTGGCTATTCGGGGTCTTTTCTGATTCCACACAAATCTTAAAATAATTTGTTCTAACTCTCTGAAGAAAGTCCATGGTATTTTGATAGGGATTGCGTTAAATGTGTAAATTGCCCTGGGTAGCATTGACATTTTCACAATATTAATTCTGCCAATCCATGAGCATGGAATATTTTTTCCATCTCTTTGTGTCTTCCTCAATTTCTTTCAGAAGTGTTCTGTAGTTCTTAGGGTATAGATCCTTTACCTCTTTGGTTAGGTTTATTCCTAGGTATCTTATGCTTTTGGGTGCGATTGTAATTGGGATTGACTCCTTAATTTCTCTTTCTTCAGTCTCATTGTTAGTGTATAGAAATGCCACTGATTTCTGGGCATTGATTTTGTATCCTGCCACGCTGCCAAATTGCTCTATGAGTTCTAGCTATCTTAGGGTGGAGGCTTTTGGGTTTTCTATGTAGAGTATCATGTCATCGGCGAAGAGGGAGAGTTTGACTTCTTCTTTGCCAATTTGAATCTTGATGGACACTTTGGTTGTTCCCATGTCTTAGCTTTTCTATATAGTACTGAAGTGAACATGGGGTGCATATATATTTTTGAGTTAGTGTTTCTGTTTCTTTCAGAAAAATACCCAAAAGTGGAGTTGCCAGATCACATGGTAGTCCTATTTTAAATTTTTTGAGGAAGCTCCAAATTGTTTTTTGCATAGTGGCTGTTCAGAGTACATTGCCTTCAACAGTACACAAGGTTACTGCCTTATCTCCACACCCTCATTAACACTCGTTATTTCTTGTCTTTTTGATAATAGTCATTCCAACAGGTGTGAAGTGCTATTTCATTGTGGTTTTGATTTGGATTTCCCTGATGATTAGAGATGTGGAGCTTGTTGGCCATATGTATGTCTTCTTTGGAAAAATATTTATTCAGATCCTCTACCCATTTTAGATCAGATTGTTTTTTGCTATTGAGTTGTATGAGTTGTTTATATATTTTGTATATTAACCTCATATCAAATTTGCAGATATTTTTTTCCCATTCCATAGCTTGTCTTTTCATTTTGTTAATGGTTTCCTTTTCTATTAGAAGTGTTTTAGTTTGATGTAATCCCACTTGTTTATTTTTTGCTTTTGTCACCTTTACTTTTGGTGTCAAATAAAAAAAATCATCTCTAAGAGTTTATGTTCTCTTCCAAGCATTTTATGGTTTCAGGTCTTATGTTCAGGTCTATAATGCACTTGAGTTAATTTCTTTTAGATAGTATAAGTCCAGTTTCAATCTTTGGCATATAGCTGTCCAGTCCTCCAAACACCATTTTTTGAAGAAACTGTCTTTTCCCCATTGGCTTCTTTGTGATAGATTAATAGAACATATATGCAGAGATTTGTTTCTGGGCTCTCTATTCTGTTCCATTGACCTATGTATCATTTTCTTTTAAACTGCCTGGAGGTGACAGTCTTATCACCCTGTCAAACCAGTTAAGTCTGTTCATTTGACTGTTTCATTTGAATGTCTTCAAAGTGTCTTTGAAAAATAACTAAAAATATTTTCTCAGTGAATTCTGTGGTGTAGAGTAAGAGGAGGCATGCAAGGTTTAGTGTGTTGAAATCTGAGTATATCCCACTCTATTTCTTTTAGTGGTGGCAAAATTGAAGGAGCAAGGCCTAAGTGTGATCTTTCGTATGAGACTCAATGAGGTTTTGAGCTGCTTACAGAAGTGTCATTTTTCTTTAGGTAGAATAGTATCACAAGCTCTTTTCCACTAACTTTGTCCAACTCTACCTCCCTATCTGATTTCATTTATTTTTTCTGAAGTGTTGTTTTCTAGTTATGCCCAAACTAATGATAACTCAGAGGTTTAGATTTCATTTAAATATGGTGCACTTACGGGAATATCCCTCTGTTTCCTGACTATCCCAGACCCCTCAGAAATCTGGGTTAAAACCAGCGTAGCCCAACCCAGCAGTGTAAGATTCAGTAGCTCTGGAGAGGATAGGAAATTGAGGTGGATTCTTTATGCTGAGTAAACAGGTGCTAATAGGCCTGAAGCCAAAGCCAGGTTTATAGTCTGTATTTGTAGGAAAAACAGATGACTCCATTGCTTTTGGATTTACCACAAAGCTAGGTTTAAAGCTCTACAAAGAAAGACTTTACCAGACAATTTAAATTTCTTCATGTGTCCAGAATTTAGTTGTACTTTTTCTTTCCTTTTTCTCTTTTTTGTTTAAAGCAAGTGAATCAAGTGTAGTGAGGCATATTCATAAAAATTGTTTTAATGTATGGTTCTCTTCATGGATATAATAAACTAATAGTTTCAATGCCAATTTCAAATAAGAATCAACTGTTAGCAATCCACCAAACTATCAAAAGCCAGATCTCATCCAGGCTACTTAAATTAGAATCCTTGAGATTTGTGTCAAAGATTTTTATGTTTATTTAAAGCACTCCAGATGATTTTAATATATTAGCTAGGGTTGACAACCACTGATGCAAAGATATAGTCAATTAGGAGTAAAAACTTTCTTTTTCCCTTCAGTAACCCATTTGCTGGAAATCACTATTCCAGATGGTTAATCTTATTCATGGCATTAAAATTTTTTATTACTTCTGAATACAATACATTCACATTGTTGAATAATTGTAATTTATACAGGATACAAAGAGGGAAATGCCTGTAATTTTGAAGTAAACCTTAGCACTTACCACTTGATTAAAAGTTAGAAGGGGAATATATGCCACTTACAACATTTCAAAGTAAAATACCAAAATTCCCCATCAGTCCACTGTATTCCTTTTCTCTCAGAGGAATAGAAATCTAAGATCATTCATTATGTTCTCTGGTATTTCCTTTATGTTATATCTTCCCTAAAATTTAGCAACAGCATGAACTGATCAAAGATATAGGAAAGATCTAAAGCAAGTGGGTTTGTTGACCATTAGAGCAGAAGCTATGGTAGAGCCACTGGTTGACTCACATACCCCCAGGTGATGCGGTTTCTATTCCCTCTGAGGTAAAGTATGCAAGGCTGAGTTAAACAGAAGGAAGACTCTTGTTTCCTCCAGTCTTGAAGTTTAGCTTTTTTAAAACTCCAGCTCTGTAACTTTCTTTTCTCTGTTTTGTTTGTTTCAGTGACTTAACCTTTATTTCACTTACTGTTTTGCAAAAACCTCACCTACAGTTCATTGCGTGATTTTCTGCTGTTGAAGAAACTATGTGAAAGGGGAGTTTTGTGCCTGGCAGTTTGGGGTGGGTAACTTTTTAAGAAATGTGTGGATAATCTGCATTGCCACATCTATGCCTAGGAGAAAAAATTATTTCAGGTGTACCCTACACGGAGTTCAGTAGTGGTAGCAGTGTTGTCAGTGTTAGATACTAAAGAAAAAATTCTTTAAGTTTTGCACCTTTTCAGAAAACAAATGTAGTTGCCTTATTACATTGAGTTTTTCTAGGAATGAAGCCAAGAGTGATGAAAGAAGCTGACTCTGCTCCGTCGCGAGTGGCCCACAGGGATCAGGAATGGTATGATGCTGAAATTGCCAGAAAACTGCAAGAAGAAGAAATTTTGGTGAGCAAATTTTAATGCAAAAGTTTAGGTGATAGTCCCTAGATTTTCTTGAATTGAATCATTATTGAGATTACATAATAGGCTTAATGAGCCTCTATGAGTTGAGAAACTGATACCTTTTTTATGGGTGGAAAAATCAAGACAATGGGAATAGATTGTCCAGTTTTACTTACTGAGTAAGAATTAGCAACAGAATTCCATATACCTATCTTTCTGTTATTGAATTCTGATAATTCTTTTGTAATCTGCTATAGAATTTAATAAAAATAGCCCCTGCTCTGGCTGGTGGAAGTATACTAGCTCAACTTCAGGGATGTTAATTACAATTGGTTTGAAACACCAATTTATTTTTATGGAAGATTTAAAAACAAAAAGATTTGATTTATTCATGAGAGACACAGAGAGAGAGAGACATAGGCAGAGGGAGAAGCAGGCTCCCTGTAGGGACCCTGATGCGGGCCCAGGACCCTGGGATCATGCCCTGATCCAAAAGATGCTCAACCACTGAGCCACCTCGGTGCCCAGATATTTTTTAAATGGACAACATAGATTCTAATTACTCTTTTGTGTATTTTCTATACCATAGGCTACCCAGGTGGATATGAGAGCAGCTCAAGTAGCCCAGGATGAGGTGAGTCCATGTTAGTTTGTTTAGCCAGGACTTTTTAGAAATATCCCAGTAATTTTCTGGGATTCCCTTTGAATCTGCAATCAATGATATTGACTGGATTTTGTTTAGGAAATCGCTAGACTTCTCATGGCTGAAGAAAAGAAAGCTTACAAGAAAGCCAAGGAGCGGGAGAAATCATCTTTGGACAAAAGAAAGCATGACTCTGATTGGAAGGTAAGTTTTGTTTATTGTTTTTTTTTATTTTTGTAATGGGGATTTTGCTTTTAGGGTAAGTTCTGCAAATGTATTTAGGGTATACAAATTATCTATATTGCATATATGAATCTTATTTATAAAGGTTATTTCATTACAAAAATCATAATTCTTGAAAAATAACTATGAAAAAAAAACTGCTAAGATTGAAAAACTCATTCCATTCCTTTTAAGACCAATTGAGTTGCAGGTGCCTCTGGTTAGGAGCAATCTTAGTTTTACTAATATTTACCTTACAGGAGAATGTAACCTGTACCTTACAGGAGAATTTTCACAAGCTTTCATAGCTCCCTAGTGGCCTTTTCTTTCCTTCTCTAAGTCCTCAGTGTGCTTCTGTTGCCCATCCATAATCATGTGCCCATTATTTCTCTTTTCTCTGACAACTTAATCTATGGCAGACCGACAGATACCACCAATAATTATTGCTTATGTCAAAGTATAGGAACTAACAGCATGAGCTTCACCTGTTGTCTTTTCCCTAGTTAATCAGAAACATTATACAAAATAGTTTATTCTGCTGTAAAGTAATGTAATTGTTGTATGTGGTGGTTGCAAGTTCAGTTTAACAGACTTGACTCATTAGTTACTGTGTGCAGTGCACCCCTCTGGACTTAACAGGGAAGGACAAAGATCTATTTTCCTTATAATACTATATAATGTAGGAGGACAAATAGGATAACATAGATAGCTAACAAACACAAGGTCAAACTGACTGAAGAAAGTATAGTAGAAGAACAGCAGAGTTACAGGGGGATCAATTCCTAAGCTAAAGGACCTTCAGAGAGGGACTTTGTACTAGGCCTGGAAGGATGCAGCTAGAATGTGTGTCCATGACATAGTGATATTCAGCTCTGTTCTTTACTTCTCTCTTTTTTTTTATTCTCTCTCTCGAAAAAAATTCCTCCCTTGAGTCTCTGGTTCTGTCTCTGTCTCAGCACTGATTAGGAGGAAAAAGAGGACATAGAAACCGTGATGATAATAGTATTGCTCTACTATTTCCTATAGCTCAGTTATTCAGTTGTCAGTCTGAAAACAAATGAAAGTATACTGCCATGTTAATTATTTATAGGAATCTCCTTCTTTTACCCTCTTAGTAATTCAGGATTTTTTTTTAACAAATGTATTTCATTTTAGTAGAAGTAGAAGGCTCCCAAATGATTCTGCTATATAAGTTAAGCTACAAATAATTGCCCAGGAGTTACTCAGATTCTTTGTTAACCACGAAGAAGTAAGTATTTTTAAGAATTGCAAATCAGGCAAGTAAAAGGGGAAAGCCACATTTCTAGCAAGTATCAGGGTTTCTTTAATCTCTAGATTCTGTAACGGGTGCTGGTATTGGTGTAAGTTCGTCTCTTGAAAGGGTTGGATTGAACCTTCCTTAGTTTCCTGGCTTGAAAATCACCATCCTCAAGTCAGATGTTCAGAAATAAGTTTAAGAGCATAGTCCTACACTCCATAGACTCTGGAAGTTCTTGTCAGCTGTTGTGCGGCTATTATGTTAATAATGTGTAGCCAGGCACACCCCTGCTGGGGAACATGTTCACATGTAGTTAGCTCACTCTCTGGCTGTACTGAGCACTTCCAACATATTTTTGTGACTATATATATATATTTATTTATATTATATTTATATTTATATTTATATTTATATTTATATTTATTCAGTTCAACTGAATGTAAGTAAATTAAAATTACTAGATTTTGGCATAATTTGGATATTTTCTAAACCTAATAATCTTTCAGTTTGTTTGCTGTTTTCTATATGTTTTTTCTTTTTCTTTTTCTGTCCATAGCCAAAAACAAGTAAATCAGCACACTCAAAGTCAAAAGAGAGTGATGACCCTCATCGTTCTAAGAATGACAGGCCAGCACGGTAAGATGACACCTAAAAAAAGGGGAATGAGGGACTTGACTTTGGGGTAAGAAGATATAGATTTTCTGAGAAGAGTGTTCTTTGGAGAGGAGATCCAGAAATCGGCTGTTGTCAGGGGGTATCAAGTCTTGCAGGATTATTCTCAAACTTTTTTTTCCATTCTTAAATTGGATTGAACAAGTCAAATCAGGAAGATGCTAGGGCATATAAAAAATGATGTTTTTTGTTAGGACGAGTTCTTGTCTTTGGATTCACTTCCCTTAGCTAAGAATGGATGAGATTAACCATTTTCCCAGTAAAATCTCAAGTTTTAAGGTTTACCAAGTTTCATGGGTACACTAATGTGTGCATGACATTTACAAATGCTTAAATTCATTTCTGCATGAGTTTCAAAGTCTAGGCAAATACTTATTTTGAGACACGGCAGACTTCTAAATCCCACCAGATCTAATAGCTGTGGCTATGGTGTATGTACTTCTTTCTGACTTCTCTCAGTCTTAGGTCATAGTTAATGGAACAGTTGCTGTCTTTCTACCTCATACCTCAAGTTGGCAATATTTAAGTCTCTGGAGAAGCAAACTTTTTTTTTTTTGGGGGGGGTCCTTTATTGCTTTCTGTTGCTTTTCAAAACAAAACATGATTGGAATAGAAAGAATATTATATACAGAAAGATGAAAGTAACACTAAATATAAAATTTTGAAAATTCTATTAGAACTTCAAATATTGTTCCTAATTATAGTGTATGTATTAACTCTAAAGATAAATTTTATCACATTGAAAGCATACACTGTTGTTGCCACTCTTTGCCCATGCTTAAGCTGCTAGACTTGTCGACTTAAAGTGATATTTAGTGTCCTTAAAAATCTACATTCTTTTGAGATGCCTGGGTGGCCCAGTCAGTGAAACATCTGGCTCTTGATCTCAGCTCAGGTCTTGATCTCAGGGTCATGACATTAGTCCCATAAGTAGTGGCTCCATGCCACCTACTTAAAAAAAGCCATATTCTATTTTTAAATCCATGGGCTTTCAGAAGATAAATAGCCTTCAGAAGACTACATCAAGTTTGTAAGGCTCTTAGGACAAGAGTAATATATTTTTATCAATTGCTTAAAATTGGTTCTTCTTGTATCTTTTAATTAAATACATGCCAAAGGTAGTCTTTATTTTCATCCCTGCAATATCCAGGTAAAATAAGATGTAACTAATCTGTTCTCAGTAGGTAAATAGGTATGGTTTATTATGTTTTCTTTAGTCAAATGAATTAAAATAATCTTTTGGGTTTTTCTGCAGTCTTCCAAATTTTGGGGGAACACTAACAATTTTGACTTCAGATATTATAGACCAATCTGGAATGTCTATTTTTAAAAATGAATTAAAATTGAAAACAAGTTTCTGAAAATGTAATAGTTACTTTAAAAATATTTGGCATTTTGTAGAATGAGTAATCAAATGATCCTGTATTAAAAATTGCTATTGTAAATGAGTGAAAGTGATCTATGACTGGTAGGAATGAAGGTTTTTTTTGTTTTTTTGTTTTGTTTTGTTTTGTTTTTTTACTTGAAGGGAATATTTATTTGTCTTTAAGTATCAGTTGCAGAAAGATTATATGTGTAGATACAGATCTAGATATAGGTGATAAAACTGAGAATTTTATGAAATTGTATTTCATAGTTAAAAGTTAAGCCTATTATTACAGATTTTATACAACTAATATTAGAATTATATGCATTCTGCTTAGAGCTTTTGGTTTCCTCTTTCACATTTCCTTTTTCTTCCCTCACATTTAATTTTGGTGGATTTAGTTAGCTATTTGTACAGAAAGAGATGGATTTAAGGATTGAAAATCATGGAGCTTCCCAGGTCTAGAAGTTTACTGCATTATAGTGTTAATAATAGTAGAGGGAAAGCAAGTTATTGTGTAGAGCTTGTAATATTCATGGTCAAAAATCAGTTTCTTTGTCCATTACAAAAATCTTGTATTCTCTCTAAAGAAATACAGAATCAGTTGGTGATCTTAATTAACTATGATGCTTTATAACTGGGAAAAATCTCAACTAAGTTCCAAAGTCTTTTAACTGGGTATTATGCTGATAATACTCCCAGTATTTTATTTGCATTTTTCCCTTAGAAAAAATAAGCATTTTTAAAATCTCATTTAGTTCCTACAGCATTCTTATGAATGTGAAATATATTTATCTCCACTCAGTCACTTATCAGATATTTACTGAATGTCCTAATAATTGCCCATAGAGTAAACAGCAGTTAACAAGAAAGAACTGTTTCTTAGTCTCATGAAATTTATCATCTAAACAACTGCATAAATAACTATTACCATGTAAAATGCTTTAGATGAAAAGTACGTGATATTATAAAAGAATGAGGAGACAGCCTACCTAGTCTGCGTATCTAGGAGGGCTTCTTAAAAAAAATGACTTATTTATTTATTTGAGAGAGTGAGAGGACATGAGCAAGGGGTGGGGTAGGGGAGAAAGAGGGAGAAGCAGACTCCCCACTATGCAGGGCTCCATCCCAGGTCCCTGGGATCATAACCTGAAGCAAAACCAGGAGTTGAACACATTTAACCGACTGAGCTACCCAGGCATCCCAAGAAATGACTTCTAAGTGAATTCTTAAAGGGATGTCTGTATCACTGACTTAAACACGTAAATCATTGCATGAGGACAGTAGGAAACAGGTATTCCTAATACATCTAAAACTATGAAACAAACTATTGGGTTAGCAAGCTTTTTCTAATTTTGGATGTGAATATCTTTGACTTTAAAATAGCTATCTCCAGCATAACAAATAGTTTGAAATAGGAATAGTGGAAGCTATAAACAAAGGTTTGTTTGCTGTGTAGTCAATAACTAAACAGACAGGGGACACTTGGGGGGCCGGTCTTATTAGTCACATAAGCCTTGGACTCTTGGTTTCAGCTCACGTCATGATCTCAGAGGACCTGGGATTGAGCCACACTGTCTCTTTGCTAAGTGGGGAGCCTGAGATTCTCTCCCTCCCTCCCCCTCTGCCCTTCCCCTACTTGTGTGATGTGCTATCTCTCTCTCTCAAATCTTTAAAAACAACAACAAACTAGACAGCATATGAAGAGAACTAAGGGCATTCTAGATTGATTTTGTATATCCTTATGTGGAGATCCTAGTGGATTTGTGGAAGTTCCGTGTGTTGTTTCACACTTCAGCATCTTTTCCTTGACAAGTTGATGGTGAGGCAGTAATTCTGGGTTTTTGTTTGTTTGTTTGGTTGGGTTTTGGTGTTCTTGTTTTTGTTTTTAGAGTCCCATTTGACTTTTGTGTTTCTGGGTTTTGATCACCTAATATAAGAGTTTAATAAAAAAGAATACAAGTCTCTGCTGTCCTGATTACCAATCCTATTTTCTTGGACCCAAGTTACTTCTTTAACCACCTATTTTTTTGAAGTTGAGTTTCTTAATTCTAGAGTCAGATAGTTTGTCTCAACTCTTCTGCCAACTTCTAATACTACTTTTTTAAGGTAAATGTTACAAATGTTAGTCAATAATGAAAAAAACTGTATTTACTTTCTAATATTTGTAAACAAGTAGTTCAAAGTGAAAAACAAGAAAAATGAAAATACCGTATCATTTGTTATACTCACATTAATTATATGTATATATACAGAAGCATGAAAATATAAGCCAAATACCATTTGAAAGTATATTTACACACACACACACACACACAAATATGGATACTGCTGCTAATAAAAATACACACCTATGTAGCATAGCATAGGGTAGTGAAGAGCAGAGTGATTTTGTAGTACAGTTGAGTTTGAGTCCCAGCCCTGTCATTTAACAACTGTGTGATCTTGGACAGATCACTTACCTCATCTAACCTAATCTAACTCTAAAATATGTGTATGATAGCTACCATGCAGACTTGTCCTGAAAATTCATTGAGGGGACCCCTGGGTGGTTCAGCGGTTGAGCGTCTGCCATTCAGCCCAGGGCGTGATCCTGGGGCCGTGGGATATCTACCCACAGGGAGCCTGCTTCTCCCTCTGCCTATATTTCTGCCTCTCTCTCCATGTCTCTCATGAATAAATAAATAAAATCTTTAAAAAAAAATAAAGTTCATTGAGATCATCTGAGTAGAACCCATAGCACAGTCCTCAATAAATAAGTTTACATCCTATGCTGACCTGTGTTTTGTTTTTTCGTTTTTTTTTTTTTTTTTCCTATGCTGACCTGTTACAGACAGATAACCGAATACCCAGCAAGAGACCTACTGCTTAGGGACAGAGTGAGAAATTTGAAATCACTTGTCTTCTTATATGACAGAGCCCTTTGTACCAAACTTAGCATAACTTTCTGAACTGCAATGTACTTATGTCTTCCAGATTGCATATATGGTTACAGAAAATCTCCCACAACATGGTTATCTATTTGACATTTCTGTTACTGCATCTGGTTCCATGCTTTAATGCAACATTTAAGTACACATCTGAGAAACAAAAAACAAAAAAGGAGAGATTTTCTTCTTCATCTTCTTCAATGCCAAATGTTTACAAAAATCTATGTAACATAATTTTAAAATAATAAAAATTTCAGAGTAGCAAAAATTCCCAGTGCTTTTTTACATTTTGTATTATTTTGATGTGAAAAGTTGCCAATGTAGGATTGTCTTTTCCTTTTCTAAGCTCTGCTTTGCCACCTAGTGGATTGAGAGACTTTGCTCTAGACCTTATATGATGACCCATGTCCTCTTCCTTCCCTTTCCCTCTTTCCTGTCCTCCCCCATTAGCTGCCAATTTTGCCCTCTTTTTTTCTTCATTTCTTAACTTTCTGTATTACTTCCCTTTGATCTTTTCCTTTTTTCCCTCTCTTTATTCATAAAACCTACCAAAACAAAGGAAATTTCTCATTAATGGCAGTGGTGGGATCCCTGGGTGGCGCAGCGGTTTGGCGCCTGCCTTTGGCCCAGGGCGCAATCCTGGAGACCCGGGATCGAATCCCACGTCGGGCTCCCGGTGCATGGAGCCTGCTTCTCCCTCTGCCTATGTCTCTGCCTCTCTCTCTCTCTCTCTCTCTCTGTGACTATCATAAATTTAAAAAAAAATGGCAGTGGTTACACAACTCATTTATCTTGTTTCTCTCTAGTCCATAGCACAGTGCCTCACACATATTTCTCAGAAAAATGTTTGTTTTTATTGAATTATGTGCATCAAAGCAAAGGAACAGTAAGATAAAATAATTTATTCAAGGTTATGCAACAAGCCAGGAACTAAAATGAGAGTTCTGTGTCTTTGCATTTCTACCAAAATGGTTTTACCATATTTTCCAATGAGAGGTAGAGTTGTAGTCACCACTACTTAGAATATCTCTTTAAAGTTTGACTTCCCTTCAGGCCACCACCACCTACCATGACAGCGGCTGAAGATTTGGATTACACTCATTTTACAAACCAGCATAATTCCACACGTCATTTCTCAAAATCGGAATCCTCTCATAAAGGTAAGAAAAATATATGTGATCAAGTTTGGGATTTTTTTTTTTTTTTTTTTTTTTTACAATTCTCATGCTATGGTGGAAAAATCAAATGGTGTCTTATAGATCACTGGAGTGGCAAAATAAGTTATCCTTCATTTTGGAAGATCATTATAGTATTTTTCATATGTTAAAAAACAAAAAAGGTAAAACAAAACAAAACACCTTAAATTGAATGCAAGATGTCTGTGTATGTGCATTTTCCTCCAGGAAGAATTTGTAGCTTTCATCAGAGTGTGACTATAAATAAAACAAAGGAGCAAAAGGAAAAAAAAAGAGCAATAAAACAGACTCTTAACTATAGAGAACAAAGTGATGATTATCAGAAGGAAGGGGCTTATCAGAAGGGATGAGTTAAATAGGTGATAGGGATTAAGGAGGGCACTTGTGATGAGCACCAGGTGCCTTACAGAAGTGTTGAATTGCTATACTTTACATACTGTATACCTGAAATATATTCCTAAAATAACTTATTGACTCTGTGTGTAAGTATTTTACAATCAAGAACAAAGAAACATGTATAGATATAAAGATAAATGATTTGCCTGACCCGGGAGAAAACAGAGCATTTCTGAGGTTTTTCTTTAATGGTATTTCTTCTTTTTTCTTCCTTTCCAAGGTTTCCATCATAAGCAGTAAAACCCTAGGAATCTGCCTTGAGAACGGACTCACTGTAGCAAACATTACTGGATATACAGAATGCGTTCCACATTCATTTTTTTCTTTCCTGTGTTTGTATTCCTGGGATTTATCTTCAAGAGTTCTTCTGACCATAAATAATTTTAATTCATTTAAAATGTTTTGGTTATTCTTGATCACTTGGGCAGTACAAGAAAATCTAGCTTCTGAATATTGGCCTCCTCTCTGCTGCATACACTTCCTGGGATATAGTATCTAAAAGCTCTGTAAAATGTCACTTCTGTTAGGTATGGAGTACTGGTATCTAGACACTAGGCTTTATTTAGCAATTAGAATTTTGTGGAGACTATGATCAGAGTAAAACAATGTTTGGATGCAATGCAGAATAAAAGACTATAAGAAATAGCTTTCTTTGTGCATTAGTATATGGCATATTGAAGAAAGAACCTGTTGTTTTCTGTATTTCTTAGAAATTTTTTTTAAAAAATCACAACTATAAAGTGTTAAAAAAAAAAAACTGGAACAATTGAACCATGTGGTTTTGTATATCCTTATAAGCTTTCTTGGGAGAATTGGCCCAGATGTCATTCTCTGACACTTTCTCTGCTTCTGATTAATAGCAAGTCTTTCTGAGGCATCTGGGCATTGGGCAGATTATTAGTATTTATTGGCAAAAGTTTAATTCTATGAAATTTTAACTCAAGTCTGTGCAGTCAACTGAAAGTGAAAGAGTGAAAAACTTTGTATCCATTCTCTTATTATACTTTTATATGGAGAGCCAAGGGAGGTGGAATTAGAAAAAAGTTTATGTAAGTAATGATGCCATCAATGCTCTCTGGACATAGGTTGAGAAGTTTTCCTCTTGCTTAAAAAAGTAAAGCAAGTATTTGTTGGCAACCACTCAAAAGATATTTTATCTGTCAATAATCAGATTGATTCAACATAAAGTTGAAGTGGATAAAATGGTTCTTTATCCAGGTACATTGGATTCCTTTGTACAGGACCTTTGAAGCCCTCCTTGAGAAATCTAGTCTTTGTCTAGCCTCTAACCTTGTGGAAATGCTTATCTTCCCATTCTAGTTAGTTAACATAAATGGCAAACATGCTGTCTATATAAAAGTTTCCCTTCAGCTTGACTTTCCATTATTTTTTATTGTGTGAATCTGACATTTCTGACATTCCAGTATGGTGTTTGTTTAGGAAAGAAATACATAGGTGACTAGAGAAAAGGTTGTAAATCCATTCTTTTCCCACTGGGAACTGACTATTGTTTAGCCTTATCTTTGCAGATAGTCTTTCAATTGAGGCAATATTCAGGAAGCTATTTAGAATAGTTTCTCAGAGTGGATTTGGGTCCTTTCATTTTGAGAAAGAGCTTTAGTTCCTAAAGTTTTTGGATTGCAGGAACTTGAGTAAAAGGTGCCTAAGAGTCAAGTTTTAGGGAAATGATAATCTAGAAAGAAGCAAACCCTAAAAGAGTAATTTTTGAGAAAAGGTGAAAGAGAAAACAAACAGGACTTTGAATGACACAGATGAAATGAATGAGGCAGAGTCCTCAATTAAATAGGCAAGGACACAAGGGATGGAGGTCCTAGCCTTAGTCAAATTCTAGAGGGTGCTATCAGTATCCAAAGCTTAGGCCTTGTTGACTTCTAGTAATGCTATATTTTTCTTTGTCTGCCCTGTGATTTTGTTTCATGTTTTAAAAAGCTTTTTTTTGTGTGGTAACTTTAAAAGAAAACACAATGTATCTTTATTTTGATAGGCAAATGTGCAACATCATTTGCCATATTTTTATTTCATGAATGTTTATTTTTCTATCTCATACAATGATCAGATTTACTTTAAAAATTCTGCATTTGTCTTGCTTCTCATGTACTCTATCCAATCATATTTATTATTGTAAAATGCTATTGAGGTATTTTCATCCAAAAAATGTTAGGCCACTTAACAGTTAAGTCTTGGATATTAGCGCTTCAGCTGTCTTAGTGAGCAGCCAGCGGTGATAGTTCCCTGTGACACCCAATTCAACATCTGTATTGAACATTTGTTACTTTTTTTTCTTTAGGTTTTTTAAAAATTAGAATTTTAAGATATTTTATTTTTTTTTGTAAAGCAAACACTTTTTAAAGAGTATCAGAGTAATTCTTTTCTTCTTATTAGTTTAATCCTTTTATTCTCACTCAAATATTATAATTATTATTTTTAAGACTATAGAAGTAACTAACAACTGTATTTAAAGGAACTGCCAAACATTCTTCACTGTGTTCTCTGCTTATCACTTTGTTATTTTTATATAAATGCAGAAATACTTTATTCCTCTTTCTACCACTGGAACACACACAATTTAATTTTTAGGCCCACCATGTATTATGCTTTAATGTTGCAATGTAAACTAATAGGCTGGCCTTGGAAATTCTTTCTGTCTCCGTACTTCTTTTCTCTGGAGGCCCCATTAACACTAGTATTGCTGAATGAGCACAGTATGTTATGGAGCCTTATCATGAGGCTACTGGATGTGTACACCCTCTGCCCCCAATCTAACTTTTTGTAACTTGTTGCCTAGAAGTAAGGTCAGACAAGAGTCATGTTAAATGTTCTGAGTTGGAAAAAATTTGTAGTGTGAAGCCATTGTTAGACATAATTATTTTACGGAAGACTGGACAGTTGCTACATATGCTTTAACAGGACATTGAGATTTTTTAGAAAGTGACTTTGCATACCTTTGAATTGTTTTTTCTCAAGTGACTTTACAACAACCAGCAACAGAGTAATGTAAACTGCAAAAAAGACTTATGGTCTTTGATCATAGAGAAACACCTAAATTAAAAAGAAAGATCTGGATAGATGTTTCCTGGGAGGAAAACCTTTTCAGATTTGCAATGGCCACTTGGATCTAGATCAACATATTCCAAGGTATGATCTTGGACCTTGTATTCCACTGAACTCACTCTAGAAAATTGTGAACCGGACCCATTTTCCCCTTTTCTTCTCTACTGTGGTCTGCAGCCGAACTGGATGATGAATAAATTCATTGCTGAATTTGTCCACACCTTTCCATCGATGTCAGGACTTTTCAGTATAAATATAATTAACTTTTAATGGATAATTATTTTTCTTCAATACTGTCAGATACTCTCTAATTTTTGTCTTGTGCCAAATTGTTCTTTAGAAACACCTGCTATATAATATGGTGCATTCAGTTTACCACATCAGTGGTTAACATTTTAGGGCCTTGATTTTTAATGGGTATTGCCTTTGTATAAAAATCACTTTGGGGGAATATCAGGATTATTCATTTATTCATTGATGATTTTCTTGAAAGATAACCGGTGATTGGATGTAAGATCTTCCCTCTAAGTAAAGGAGTGAGACCGCCGTGCAATCAGCTTTCCCAGGGACTGAGAACAGAGTAGAACTTGCACTGAAAGGATTTTTTCCCTTTTGGGAAAAGAGTATTTGTGTAGGGAACATTAATGTGAAAGGAACACCGTTCAGGTAGATTTCACCATATGTAGTGTGCCATGTTCTCATAACACCGAATTTTTAGAAACAATCAAAATAACCAAAACCTGTTCTTTCAGCTGAAAGGAAAAAACAGATGTTTAAGGTACTTTGTCCCTTACTTACTGCTCATAGTCAGAGAAGTGACTAGATCAAGTGGTCTCATTTTCTTTTCCTATCTGGGTAGTACCTGTGAGTTTTAAAGCCATAACTGTTTACCTTACTATTGATAGAATCCTATTTTTCAAAGCCTTTAGCTTGGAACAGGTAATGTGGTCAGGGAGGAGCAAACTAGAAGACTGTCCTGATAATGCTGCACAATGGGGCACAGGGTCATCCAAACTCCTGGTCAGAGAATCTCATTCAGCCCTGATGGTGCTTACAGTTATTAAAGGGAAGAGTCAAGGCTGTTGTTGCTCCTGCCATTTAATTGTTGTTACAAACCCTGAAATTTACTTCCAGAGAAGTAAAAAAGGAAATGGTAAACTAGGAAAAATTCACTTCTGACAGAGTCACTTTTCTGATGAGACTTGTACTTTTTGCTTGCAAGGTCTTGAGGAGCAGTGTTGCCTTAAATTAGTTTGATTCTAACCGAGGTCAGTATACTGTACTTCCTGTATGTGAATGTCAACTCTCCATTGAGATCTAAAATTCACAGGTGATCACAAAACATCCTTGCCGTCAGGAACTCTGGATTTCCTCCCACTGAGCTGTGGGGGACCTGTACACTGATAAATACATCATTTCATTGAGTTGCCTCTCAATCTCTGAACAAGCAGTGGCATGACCAAAAAAGGCTGGTAGAGGGAGAGGGAGAATTTCCTAGCCAGATTTTTCAGGTTATCGTTTCCTGAATAACTGAGAGTTGACTGTCTATTCTATAGTGACCATGTAGAAGATACTTCCAAACATTGTGTTGTGTAGAAAAGTCACTTATTATTGTTTTGTGAGAATTTCACCAACACTCTTGTGTTTTTAAGTGCATACCATTGACAGCAAAAAGGGAGAAAACCAAACAAAACAGGGACATTTACTTGAAATGAGGGATCTTTGATGGGAAGAGTGTTTCTATTTTGTTACTTTTAGGACAAAATTAACCAGGAAAACTGCTGTGGTAAGGGAGACACCAGAGTGTTTTTGTAAGGTCGTGTTTGATGCCATAAATTGACAGAATCATCTAAGTAATCATGTTGATTTGTTGAACTGTCTAGTGCTGGAAACCGTCTTGTTCCTCTTTATATTTGTGAATACGGCCTAGAAACATGTTCTGAATGCATTTCATATGCTGTTGTTCATTCTCAGCAAACTAGAGGATGCTTTTCTCTTTTTGAGTAACTGTTAATAGCATAGTGAGCCAGCACTGTGCTGGTTTCAGCATTTCAGATAAGGACAGGATTAATTGTGCATCTTAGTTAGTGCCCTATCATTCATTGTTGAGGTTCGCATATAAAGAACAGGAGAATTGAAAGACAGGGTTTTTGAGTGACATGTCCTTCACAAAAGAGCAAGGACTAATAGCAGTAAAAAGACAGTTAAGAAAATACACCATTACACATTGCATACTTAGGGTATGTTTTTGTTGCACTGAATTTCAGACCATAACTGCTAAAATAGTTTCTAGCTATTAAATTTAGTAAGAGGGTTTTTGATGTCAGAATTTTTTATTTCTGATTGAATTAGCCCCTGAAATCACCGTAGGCTATAACTTCAGCTCTTGCTATAAACTGAAAGCCAAATGCCCTTTTTCAGAAGTAGCTATATTTTTCACCTGCCTCTTAAAGGCAGCCCAATATTTGTTTCATGGGGTATTATAAATAATGAGGAGATGCAGTGGGAAGATAGCATATTAAAATGGTGTTCCACAATGAGAATTCTCTATAATGGGGTTTTCCTTTAAAAGAATCCATCCCGGCACAGTATTATATTTTGAAAAGGTGCTGAATTATAAAATACAAGAGTATGCTCATATAAGTCAAATTGCTTAGGAAATTAAAGGTGGTGCTATCATTTGTCTTACAATTTGGAAAAGTACGTTCCTGAGAGAGATAATGCATAGTGCCCAGGCAGTTTCAGATTCTTTGGTGAGAAGCCCTTTGGGATCTGGAATGTGGATATGTTTAAAAAATGAGTGAAATATTAATCCAAGTGCTCATCAACTTGTAGCCAAGCCCCAGAAGGAAAGGCAGCTTTGAAATAACTACTTCATGGAACTGAACAGAACCTTAATGGAATACAGTTGTCTGTCTGAGGACAGAAAACGAAGAGGCCACCTCATACCACATGCCTATTTAGAGATTAGATGAAACTGTGAGGGATACTCTGTGGATGCCTTAAAGGTGACTGGTGTTGAGTACTGGTGGGTATGTGTGCACCCATCTGGCCTAGGCCGACGGAAACTATTTCCGTTCACCTTCACACAGCACAAGCTGTTCCTGCTCATAACCTCATTGAGGAAAATGAGAAACATGGTGCTGGTGACTTCCGTGTGTCTTGGGAGGTGAGGTGGTAATGTCACTCAGCACTCTCCAGTGCTCAAGCCTCCCCCTTAAATGCCAGTTCTACATCTACATTAATTCATCTATGCAAGCTTGTGTTTTCATGGTTTGTTTTATACACATTTGCCCATTTGATTCTTTAAATAATCAGGTCTACCATTAATATTATGAATAATTTTTAAACCAAAGTATGTATATGTTTGTGTGCTTGTTTTCCTGGATGGTTTGAGGCAAACACCAATCTTGTCCTTCTCTCTTAATAAAGTCATCCATTTGTTAAGTCAATGGTCTCATGTTTTCTTTATTGCATTCAAGGACTTGAAAAGTTCTGGGAAGAGGAAAGGAGTATTTTTTTTTCCTTTATGAAGTAACATATTTGTTTAATAATGTATATTTGTTAATAACAGCATTTTCTCTTATTCCAGTTCCATCCACTTTCTATAACCATGTATGGCACTGATGATGCTATCTAGTATATTGAAGTTGTCAACAAATACTCCCAAATCTGATACTGATAGCTAATACGTTGAAGTCCTCAATAAATACTTCCAAACCTAAAGTTGCTTAGAGAAGTGGCTTCGTATAGTCTGTGGCGGTTGGTGACTTAGTTTGATGTATTTGGGAGAAAAACAGGTAAATGTATGTTCACAGAATAATACAAGTGATTAAAGACTCCATGAGTACAATAACTCAAGTCTGCAGGATACCTGATACTCCATGGATTTGGATAAAATAGATATTAATAACAACTACCATTTAACTTTTTATAAATTCATTTTTCTTTGTTTTGATAGATTAGCCATGATATGGAAACCAGTGCTCCAGAAGTTAGGTATCTTAAAAATAAGATCTTCTTTTTCATGACTACTAAACAATTTTCAGAGGTTACTAGCTTCCCTGGAGCATATTCTCTAGGACTTAGCTTCTTCTCTGGCAAATATAATAGGAAATCTAAATGATCTGTAATATATCTATACTGTTACCACTACCAGATGCATAAGGCACACCAGTGATGTGCAGATGTCGAAGAAAGTTGGTGTGTTGATTTCAACCTTCCTGGGTGAAAGTTGACAATGAAAGAAGTTGACATATCTACAGGCCAATTACCAAACTTATATACGTAATTAAAGTAGCTCCCTTAAATCTGTGGTAGAAGGTACCTGGTATTCTTGGGTGGAGTTTGAGTAATATGGCTGAGTATGACGTTAAACTGTGGCCATGTGGTGTGTATGGAGAGCTGTGGCACACTAGAAAGCCCCTTTTTAAAACAAAGGCAGCAAGAAAATATTCATCTCCTACACCTTGGAAATTGGGTGTAATATTTAAGGAGTCTTTGGATTACTTACAGGGTAGGGGTAGAGATTTGAAGACTGTTTATTGGCTCCTCCTATGTATCTAGGCTACATGCTTCAAAAAGCAAAGGCTGCAAAATAGTGTCCTGAATACATCATTAACAGGAATAAGGAGACCCAGGTGCTAGTCCTGGCTTTGAACTTGCTTCAGGACCTTGGGACACCACTTACCCTCTCTAACTCAGTTCTTTTATGTAGAGTAATAAGCACATTGCAGGAGAGTTGGTGATGTTAGGCCTGACTCCCGACTGAGGAGTCAGGCCTAACATTCTATAATGCCTGAGGAGTCAATGCTGACTAGGTTCCTTTAAAATGGCCCAGAAAAAGAGTAGCCTCCCACAGTACTGGGAGCCAGGAAAGTCACAAAGACTTCTTAGACACTTGGCGAGAGGCCTCATTCCTGATCATATGTTCTTTTAAAAAATATTTTTTTTGTATTTTTGACAAAATTGTGTACAATGTGATGTTTTGATATATGTATACATTGTGAAGTGACTACCACAGTGAAACTAATTAACACAGCCATCATCTCCCTCACAGTTAGCTTTTGTGGATCTGTGTGTGTTTGGTGAGAATGCTTGAGATCTACCCTTAGCAGATTTCAAGTATACAATATGTTATGGTTAACCGTAGGCACCAGGCTGTATATTAGATCCCCCAAACTTAAAAATGAAAGTTTATACCCTTTGCTGACCCTGTGTTCTTGGTTGTACTATCCTCCTGCTCCTAGTTCCACACCCAGAAAATTGCCATTAATTGTGTGTGTTTCTCTAACCAAATTCTATTTTCTATTTTTATTATCCCCAAGCTTCATGAACTTTCTTTACTAGGTAGGGTTTGGGTTCTTAGGAACTTTTGTACCTCCCATTGGCATATCATGCTTTTTATGCTCTCAAATCTCACTTTTCTTACCAATTCCTGAACGTAATTATGCAGATTTCATCTTGGTCATGTTAATCATGACATGCCCTTAATTACACCTGACACATTTAATTATCTGGTGTCATTATACCTGATCTGTGCCCTCATTCCCTTGACCTGGCCTCAGGCTCTAGGACATAACTGGGGGCACGTGTGTGTATGTGAGTATATGTGTCTGCAGGTCTGTATGTCTATAGCTGACATAGCTCTAATGGTGTATGTATAAATGACTGGACTTTTCTGGCATGGAGAGGTGAGAATCAAGTGGTGTATATCAATTTTGCCTTTTATGAATCATGGTTTGGTGTCAAGTCCTTAGAAGTCTTTCCCTCGCCATACATCCTCAAGCTTTTCTTCTGATATATATTTTTTCTACGCTTTATACTTTTAAGTTTTACATTTAAGTCCTTGACTCATTTGGAGTTGGTTTTTAGGTGAAGTGTGAAGTTCGGTCAAAGTTGATTGATTGGATGGATTGATTGCCTGGATATCCAATTGCTTCAGCACTATCTTTTACAGGCCTCCATGAATTTTCTTTTATACCTTTGTCAAAAATGAGTTGAGTGTATTTTGTGGGGGTCTGTTTCTGAGTTCTCTATTCAGTTCCATTGATCTATATCTCTCCCCTTGCTAGTGCCACACAGTGTGGATTATTGGAGCTAGATAGTAAGTCTTGAAATTGGATAACCTGATTCTTTACACTTTATTTTTCAAAATTGTTTTAGCTACTCTAGTTCTTTTGCCCTACCATATAAATTTTAGAATAATCCTACTTACATCTATAAGAGATATTTCTGAGATCTTGAAAGGAATTGCATGAAACCTCTACATCAATTTGGGGACAAATAATGTCTTTACTGTATTAAGTGTCCCAAAAAAGACTACAAGTATGTCTTCTTTATTTAGATATTTGATATCTTTAGCATTTCAGCATGTATGCTCTGTACATGTTTTGTTAGATTTACTCCTGGGTATTTTATTTTTGTGCAGCTATAGATATTTTCATTTTGTGTCAACAAGTTTTTTGCTAATATATGGAAATGCATAGATTTTTGAATAATTCTTTTTATATGTTGTTGAATTGCAATCACTAATATTTTCCAGGATTTTTGATTTTTGTATTATATTGGAAGGCATATTGACCTGTAATTGTACTGCCTTTGATTGGCTTTCACATTAGTGCAACGCTGGAAAAAAAAAACTGATTTTTGTCTTTTCTATTTTCTAAATGAGATTGTATAGAATTGCTAGTCCTTTTTTTTTTTAAGTTTTATAAAAATTCTCCAGTGAAAAGACATGTGTGCCTGGGCATAACCTTTTTGGAAGTTTTTAGATGAAAATTTCAATTTTGTTTAGTTATAGGGCTATTCAAAGTACGTATTTCCTGTTAAATTAGTGTTTTTCAAGGAATTGGACTACTTCATCCAAGATATTGAAATTCATGTGTATAGAATTGTTTGTTGTATTCCCTTCTTATTGGTGTCTACTGGGTTTGTAGTAGTATCTCCTATGTTATTTCTAAATACCTTATTCCTTAAAAAAATAGCAATTATAGATTTTCTTATTTTATTAAATTAAATTACACTGCTTTAGCTGTGCCACAAATTTTAATATATTGCCTTTTCATTTTCATTTAGTGAAATGTATTTTTTTTAATCTTCTTGGAGACTTGTTCTTTGATCTATGCATTATTTAGAAATGTTCTGTCTCATTTCCATGTTTTTGGAGATTTTTCTTTTATCGTGTTAATTTCTAGTATGATTCTGTTGTGGTTAGAGGACACGCTGCATGATTTCAATTCTGTTAAATTTGTTGAGGTTTGTCTTATGTCCCTGGTTGTTGTATATGTTCCGTGAATGTGCATTCGGTTTTTCGGTGGATAGTTCTATAAATGTTGATTAGATCTTGTTGGTTGATGATGGTGTTGAGTTCTATATCCAGACTGATTTTCTGTCTAGTTGTTTTATCAATGATCAAAAGAGAGGTGTTGAAGTCCCCAACTATAATTGTAATTTGTCTGTTTTTCTTTAATAAATTTTTATTTTTATTTATTTATGATAGAGAGAGAGGGAGAGAGAGAGAGAGAGAGAGAGAGAGAGAGAGAGAGAGAGAGAAGCAGGCTCCATGCACTGGGAGCCCGATGTGGGATTCGATCCCGGGTCTCCAGGATCGTGCCCTGGGCCAAAGGCAGGCGCCAAACCGCTGCGCCACCCAGGGATCCCTGTTTTTCATTTCAGTTCTATTAATTTTTGCTTCGTGTGTTTTGCAGTCCTGTTTGATGCATAACATTTAGGGTTGCTGTGTCTTGGTGGAATGACCATTTTATCATTATATAATCTCTTCTCTGTCACTGGTAATTTTCTTAGCTTTGAAATATACTTTCTCTGATGTTGATATAGCCACAATGCCTCCTTTTGATAAACATTCACACTACATCTTATATTTCAACTTGCCTACTCCATTGTATTTGAAGCAAATCTCTTGCACAAAATATATAGTTGAATATTTTTAAATTCATTCTGCCATATTTTTTTATTGGTGTAAACCATTAACAGTTTGTTGGTCATTTCATTTATTAAACAACCCAGTCATTTCTGTGGGTTTGGAATTCTGCTATTTTAAGAGTTCTAATTCTGTATTTCTCCATCAAAAAATTATCTCTAGGGCAGCCCCAGTGGCTCAGTGGTTTAGCACCGCCTTCAGCCCGGGGCATGATCCTGGAGACCCGGGATCAAGTCCCACGTTGGGCTCCCTGCATGGTGCCTGCTTCTCCCTCTGCCTGTGTCTCTGCCTCTCTCTCTCTCTCTCTCTGTGTGTCTCTCATGAATAAATAAATAAAATCTTAAAAAAAATAAAAATACCTCTTATTTCCTAATCTAGTACCATTTTATTTTATTATTATTATTATTTTTTACTTTTAAAGATTTTTATTTTTGTGAGAGAGCGTGAGAGCCCATGAGTACATGCATGCCTGTGGAGGAGGGACAGAGGAAGAAGCAGACTCCTCCTTGA